TGGTTGAAGCCATGTCTGGAACTGCTGATGTAGTGGTCCACTGTTCATCTCCATGAGCTATAAAGACTTTTCCATAGGCCACACAGGGCTATTATACAGAGAATTCATTGATACCAGAACTCCAGCTTCTAACATGTCATTAATTAAAGAGGTAATCTTTTTGCCCACCAGGTATTCCGCATTGTTTTAAATTAACGACTTGAGGGGCGCCTGGGTGGCTTAGTCAGTTAAGCGTCCGACTTTCGCTTAGGTCATGATCTCGCGGTTCATGGGTTTGAGGCCCGCGTCGGGCTCTGTGCTGACTGCCAGCTCAGAGCCTGGAGCCTGTTTCAGTCTGACTCCCTCTCTCTCTGACCCTCCCCTGCTCACGCTCTCTATCTCTCTCTCTCTCGTAGAAATAAATAAAACATTAAAAAAAAGAGAAATAAATTTAAATTAACGACTTGAGTGGGCTCAAGAAATTCTACTGGTTCCCATTTAGTGTGTCCAATTAAGACTGGCCTGAGGGGGATGGTCATGCCTTCTGTTTCCAACATTAGGTAGGGGAAGTAATTGCTAGTTGGACATAATATCCACCCCAGCAATACATTCAAGTAAAGGGGAACTAGCCACCTCACATAAAGTTTGTTCAAAAATCCCAATTTTCATATAAACTTTCACCTTAATCCCATCAACATTTTAATTTCTATATCTTCTTCATTTAAATTAAGCTGCTATTAAGACATTACCAATATATTTCAACTTTTTAATGTTTTGTTTGTTTATGAGAGAGAGAGAGAGAGAGAGAGAGAGACAGTGTGAGCAGGGGAGGGTGAGAGAGGGAGATACAGAATCTGAAACAGGCTCCAGGCTCTGAGCTGGCAGTCAGCACAGAGCCTGACACAGGGCTCAAACCCACAAACCATGAGATCATGACCTGAGCTAAAGACGCTTAACTGACTGAGCCACCCAAGCGCCCCTACCAATAGATTTCAAATCACAGTACATTGACTCCTGTGCTAAGGAGTCCAAGAAAATGTTTCTTCTCCTCCTCTTCCCCTCCCTGGCCATTTTATCCATACATGTGTGTGCATGTGGCCTTGGGTCCCCACCAGGCTTGGCCAGAAGACTCTGGCGTCTCCAATATTTACTTTGATTAATCTGCTTACCCAATATCCCAGGCAATTCTGGATGGTGTTTCTCTTTGCTGTCTGGCTTTTAAAATTCTTCCAAAGTGGGATAAATGGAGAGAACTTGTCTGGGGGCCTTCTTATATTGGGGGACCCATGGGGAGTCTCACCGGTCAATGCAAGCTTCAATAATGCTGCATCTACTTCTTTGTTTCAACACTGTCCATGTCCACCACATTCATCCCTCTGAATTTTCAGTAACCATCTAAAGATGTCCACACTGCTGGGTAGAGTCCCTTGATTTTCCTTTCTGTCTCTCCCATTTTCTTTTTAATTACTTTGGTGACCTTGGTATCAGGAAGATCCAAATGGTGAAGCTGAGAGAGCAAAAATGGATAAAGCTTCTCAGACTATTCGGTTTTGCAAGAGTAATGTCACATAGGATGTCTATGGAACAGGGGTCTCCTTAATCACAGCATTTACCATAACCTGATAACGGGCATATTCTGTGGGTGAATCCCACTTGATTTGCCCATAAAGCATATCAGTTGCTTCATCTGAAGTGATTCACTTGGCAGGTATAGGGGGAATTGGGCAGTCCTCCTTCTCAGGTAAGCACACCTTAGGGTGGCTTTTATCCAGTCTCCTAGGAGTCGATTCTTCAGGAATAACCGTCTGTGTGTCCGAATCACATATAACCCTCTGTGGTTGTTCAGTAGTGGACTGCAGATCCTGCATCAAACCAAACAAGCTCTTCCCCTCTGCAGCATTCAAAACCAAAGACATAGCCCCCAAATTAGTTACCCTCACAGTCTGTCTTTGTAAAGATTCCTCAGGAAGATGATAATTTGATCCACAACATGAGACATCTCTTTCACAGGATATCCCCTGGCTTTATTTGTTTTTTTTGTTTCGCCCTCCACCACACTGACTACCTTTTTGGTGATCAGAAGGCTTAAGAGGCAGTTTCCTGGCATAATTTTTCCCTCTGTGGGCAGCTTTGAGACTAGTGGTCAAAGCTCACACTGATCCAAATTTGAACTTGCTCCAGCATCAAGGTCCAACTCAGAACTCTCTCTCATTTTAGCTATGACAGATAATGATAAACCAAGAGATTGCATATTTAGCATGCTTGTTATTTTCCACTTCCTTACGTATCCAACGTCCAAAGAGCCAGTTCCTTAGGAGTTGGGTCTACTCACATCTCTAATTCCACTGAAGAAGAATAGTTACAGTTTTATGCCATGAGTGACTAGGTAGCCATTCAGGGATCAGTGCCCCTCATCCCTGCCCTTGTTTCTTTCTCTTTCCAAATCATGCGTTTCCATGAGCCAGAACTGTTCTAGCAAATTCCACTTCACTGACACCAAATGTCTAGGAACAACAAGGTTTTTTTTTCCTTTGTGTTTTCCTTTGCTTTCATACTTCACTTCTGGCCACCAAACGTGTGGGGTTCCCCCCCTACCATATTGACCAATTCTCCAATACCAGCTGGGTGTCCTACGATTTGATTTCATCCTGATGCTGTCTGTCTGTAGTGTCAGATCCTACACGTTAACAGCCCTGTCTCACAAGACTTCCCCAAGTCCCTGTTGCCTTCTCTGATTCTGGCCTTCCAGCTCTAAATGGAGTTTCCATGACTCCATCCTTGGGTTTGACAATTTGCTAGGACAGTTCACAGACCTCAAGGGAACACTTACTTATATTTACTGGTTGATAATATAATAAACAGTATGATGAAGGATTCAAATGAATAACCAGATGAAGAGATACATGGGGTAACTTCTGGAAGGGTTCCAAGCTCAGAAGCATCAGTCACCCAGGAACTAGGAGACACCCACCACCTTCCCAGCACATTGATGTGTTCACAAGCTTGGAAGCTCCCTGAATCCTATACTTTTGGGGTTTTTATCAAGACTTCATCAGAAAGGGGTGATTGACTATTAATTCAATTTCTAACCCTTCTCTCACCTCTGGAGAATAGGGGTAGGGCTGAAACTACCAAGCTTCTAACCATGTCTTGGTCTTTCTGATGACCAGTGCTGATCTTAGAGCCCACCAGAGTCATCTCATTAGAACAAAAGAGACTTCTATCATCCAAGAAATTCAGGGTCTTAGGAGCTCTGTGTCAGGAACTGGGGTCCAAGACCAAATATTAGAAGAAACTGGGAGCAGAGACATTCTTTATATATATATTCATACATAGATGAATATATATTATTATATTATACATACATATATTATATATAATATATACGAATATATATTATTATATTATATATAAAATATAATATATAAATAATAATAAAAATTATTATTATTGCAAGTGAATATAGAGAATTGTAGCCAAGATCAGCTTACCTGAAGCAGAAGCCAGTAGAGCCAAGAACTGCTAGGAACAGACACCTGAAATGGTAATTGGATGAATTGTTGGAGCCTGAGTGAAGATGAGGTGAGAACAGGACATTCCTGGGGTCAATAGTGTTAGAGGGGCAGAAGCAAGTACATGTAACTGGTGGAGGGCAAAGGCTCTAAGCCTGGAAGAATACATCTACTGCTTGAGATCGGGAATGAACATGAGAGCAAGAGGGAAGAGATCCTCTGACCTCTCTCCTCTTCCACCTTTGCATCTATTGTTGCTCTTTCCCGTCAGATTGGTCAGACCCAGTTGGAAGCCAACCATGAAAGTGGGGACTTGGTGAAGCAGTCCACGGTGGTCAGCCTCCCCTGGAAAGGGTATAGTAGGAAAATAAAGAGCAAAACCAACACAAGATCTGTCTACAATAGAGTTAGAGATGATACAACTATTTTTCCTTTTTAAAAAATCTTTTGTTTTACTCTGATCTCCTTCTCTTTTCATATCCTTGTATCTGCTTTTGAACATATTTCTAATAGAAACCCAAGTTTTCAAAAACAAGTATATTATGATGGTTTTAGCAAATCATGTCCAGTTTAATCTTTTAAAATATTTACACAACATCTGATATTGGTGATTCAGTCCTTTGTAAACATATTTCTACAACACTTGAGAACATTTATAACTTGTAATGAATAGAAACAAAGATTTTATCATATCATTACGTGAAAGGGTTATATACGTTGTGGTCTTAAACATCTGAGCAAGACAAGAGAATTTATTGCTTGAGTTTTAGAAATAATTTAAATGCAACTCTCATTATGATATAAATTTGTCTTTACAGGGTGTGAAGGGTCCTGAATAAACAGTAAGATCAATTATCATGGATTTAGAAATATAATGTTCCAGATATAATTATGGTATATGTAATATATGCAGATAAAATATTTAATCGTATGAAAGTTTACAAAATGGATATGAAAAAGATTAAAGCACAAAAATGAATGAACAAAGAATACAAATAATTAACACAAAATAAAATGCAAACATAGAAAACTGGAACTCCATCATAGGTTTAAAAGTAAATTAAAACAATTTCAATGTTATATCAGTAAATATGCACCTATGTTTAATTAAGAAATTAGGCACACTATGATTCCACCTAAATAAAAAAGTTCACTAAAGAAAAAAGAAGCTGATTTTTTTTTTTTTTTTTGGTATGGAGAAAGTGTGGTGATTCTTTAATTTTATTCAATTTCTATATTTTTCTCCATTATACAAATGTTCTTCAATGAGTATCACAATTTGTTTCGAGTTATAAAACATACCACCAAAAAAAGGATATCAGGAATATTGTTTGGTCTTCAAAAAATTTTCTGGTGATATTCAAAATGAAATAACTATTGTTTAAGGAAAAAAAATTAAGTTACATGTAAAGCTCATATATATTTTAAAAAATTTAATAAGAAAAATGATGCATGTGTGTATACAGATATAAACACATGTACATATACATATGTAAGAGGGAAGTGGTTTTAAAATAGCAGAAAATACAGTTGACCCTTGAACTATGTGGGTTTTAACTGTGCAGGTTTACCTCCATATGGATCTTTTACCATACAGTACAGTATATGTATTTTTCCTTATGATTTTCTTAATAACATTGTTTTTTCTCTAGCTTACTTATTGCAAGAACACAGCATATAAAACATATGACATACAAAATATGTGTTAATTGTCTGTTTATGGTATCAGGAAGGCTTCTGGTCAGCTGTAGGTTATAAGTGGTTAAGTTTTAGGGGAGTCAAAAGTCATATGCGGATTTTTGACTACACGGGGGTTGGGCACTCCTAATCCCCATGTTGTTCAAGGATCAACTGTACACAGAAAACTACTAACGACCTGGTGAGAAATCAGCACCTCCCACAATCATAAAATAACATACTCAAAATTTTAAAAATCTGAACAAATGCCGCGGTGCCCCTGTTTTCAAAAAGTTTGTTCGAACTGCTTTTCTGAGGCACGTGCTTGTTCATTTGTGAGTTCGAGGGATCCCCTTACTCTGTGAATTTCAAAACAATTTCTGAAAAGATTTCAGAGGAAGACTCTTGAATTTTACTTGTGTTTTACAGCAAACCCATAAACCTCATGCATCCCAAATGGGCATGTAGCACATATTGCGGCAAGGGGAGTTTTTAGTAAATGTGATATTTCAAAATTATGTGCCATGTTTGAAATTGTACTTCAAAAACTTTCCAAATTTGTGATTTTATTTTCACAATACCTGGCGCCTGGACTTTAAGTAACATTATTAACACTTTGTATTGCCTTTATCACAGATTTTCTATTATCCCTAAATTTAAGAAGAATAATTTTGAAATTTATTCATTTGTTAACTAAAAACACAAAATATACCTCATATTGATGTTAATCATTTTTAAAATTATGCACACTGCCAATTATAACATATAACATAAGCTTATATGATACAAAGAATCAGTAGGTTTGAGCTTTTAAGAGTCATCTGAAGGAGAGAGGAGTTCCCATCTCATGTCTGTATCAATTTCTTCTTCAAAGTTCCCCAGCTCCTGTTCCTTAGAAAGCTCTGAAAATACCTAAATAGGAGACGCAGCAGAAGGAAAAACAATTACCAAATTGTTGATTGTCTTCCAAATAAACAGGAAATATGCATGTTACTTTCATGTGAAATTTACAGGAATGATACAACACCATAAAAGCTGACCCACCTTTTCCAATGTGCACTGGGAGAGGCTGTATTCTTCCAGGTTAAATTTATGTTTCACTGGGGGGAGAAAAAAGACTAGTAGCAGAGGCTTACAATTTATTACTAAGAATTTTTTCAAAGGCATACAAAATAAAAATTTACACGATTAAAATAAATACAAAGCTAAAAAAACAAATGTCTTGGTGAAAGAATGGAATCATGAAAAGTCATAGAATTAATATAAATGCAAATTAAGACTCTTAATACAGAGAACAAACTGAGGGTTTATGGGGGTGGGGGAGAGGGGGATGGAGAAAATGGTTGATGGGCATTGAGAAGGTCACTTGTTGGAATGAGCACTGGGGGTCGTATGTAAGCAATGAATCACGAGAATCTACTCCTGAAGCCAAGACTACTCTGTATGTTAGCTAACTTGACAATAAATAGATTTTTAAAAATGCAAGGTAAATTAACCTTGATATTAAAAAATTCTCATATTACGTTTTGATATGGTTTATCACTTAGTATGTATGTCATACATTCGTTTCCAGAAGGAAGGTTTCAATCCCATTCCCTCCACTTTGAAAGGACCCAATATTTCCATGAAACTGTCTTCAGCCAGTTTATCTGCTGTACCAAGCTCTACGCTGCGCGTCACCACCAGGAAATCCTCATGAGAATGATCTTCAATTTACATATTCAAGTGTTCCCAGTTCACTACTCATAATATTGAGAATCTTCTGTGTGTGAGCCACACTTGGGACCATTGGTAAAGGAGGGGCGAAAACAAAACCCCTGCATTCTAGTGGCAGGAATATGGGCATTAAATAAATAAGGACTTACGTATATAATAAATGATGATTGCTACTATGGAGAAAAAATAAATCAGGTAAAGGACACAGGAAGTGCCAAGCACTCCTTTTTTACAGGATGGTTGGGGTTGGCCGTAGATACAAGGTAAGAATTGAGCAGAAACTTGAAAGAAGTGAGAAAGCAAACCGGATAATTAGGAGGCAGTAGAATCTCGCTGTCTGAATTCCAGTCCTGAGGCAGGAGTGCACATGCCTGGTAGGATTGAGGAAGTGCTGGGAAGTCAGGGTGTCCAGAGTGGAGGGAGTAAACCCGGGATTCATATGCTCTGAAATGCCATGGGCCACGTACGGGTCTAGGCACTTTACAATGAACTCATTTAATCTTCCTAACGACACTGCCAAGTGGGCACTGATATTATCTCTCATTTCTAATTTTTTAAGTGTTTATTTTTGAGAGAGACACAGAGAGAGAGAGAGAGCAGGGGAGGGCCAGAGTGAGGGAGACAGATCTGAAGCAGGCTCTGTGCGCTGACAGCTGAGAATCTGATGGTGGTTTCCAACTCACCCACGGGGAGATCATGACCTGAGCCGAAGCCCTGTGACCTGACTGAGCCCCCCAGGCTCCCCTTCCCTCCTTTAGACATGGGTCATCTTAGACCTGCAAGCATTCCGTGGCTTTACCCAGGTAGAGGGGCCGGCTAGGGAGTTGGAGGTCTTCACCACTGTGCTGTGTGAGAAACTACCCCATGACAGTCTGCTGCTGGGACCGACCCAGCAGAAGGCAGAGAAGTGATGATGAAGAGGAAGAAGAGAGAATTTCAAGTGGCAAGAGGAGTCGTGCACAATGTAGGGGAGCAGGGGAGCTGACTGAGCAAGAGACAGAGACGGTGCATTCGCTCTGACAGGAAGCAGAGCACACAGGCACAGACGCAGGTCTCCCGATCGGTGGGTGGAAGGTTTCTGTGGCTCTTATTTTACTCGTGAAATATGAAGCCAGGGCACCTGCCGAGGGAGAACAGCAGGAAGGAGATGGATGTGTAAGAGGAGTAGAGGGCACTTGGTGTGAATGGACTGCACATCCGCAGGCGAAGCAGGCCCCACTTCCGGGCTTTGCGAGTTCATGTTATGAATTCACAATAAAACCAGCTCAGTTGTGTGTTTTGTGTAGCTTCAGCTCATGCACTGGAGATAAACCTCTTTCCAGAGAACTGGATTCACCATAGTTGGGGTTAAATCCCACCACTACCCACCATTAGAATTCTTTGAATCATGAAGCATTTGCATATTTTAAAAACGTATCATATAATGGGGAACCCGGGGGCTCAGTCTGTTAAGCGTGGGCTTTTGGCTTCAGCTCAGCTCACAGGATCTACCAGTGGGTGGGACGGGAGCCCTGCGTCAGGCTCCGGGCTGACAGTGCAGAGCCTACTTGGGATTCTCTTTTTCTCCCTCTCTCTGCCCCTCCCCTGCTCATGCTCTCTCTCTCTCTCAAAATAAACAAACTTTAAAAAAAGAAAACATATTACACAATTATCTACCATGAAATTATTACCTAAGTCTGAACAGATTCTTCCAGAATTTTATTTTATAATGATAACTCTTACCTGCCTCAAGTCTGTGAAAGGTCTGAGATAGAGGGTAAACATCCGCCAAAGGTATTTTATAGGCCAAGAAGGAGGAATGCCTGGGAATATGCAAAAGGTCATATTTGATGTTGAGTTTCAAGGGGAAAAGGTGACCATCAAAATAAATACTGATACTGACATCAATTTCCTTTGAAGAAAATAAAAATAATACCAGTTAATGCACGGCTTACATATAAAATAAACAACATTAGCAATGGAAAATTCTTCAAATGTCTTTGGTGGCTGGCTGTGGGAGCTAATTCTCCTACAAACAATGCAGCATTATTGCATTTATGCTCAGTGTATGCAAACTTTTTGTTATTGTTGAACACGGACGTCTGAACTAATCCCTCTGCTTCGTTTAAATTAGGTTGCAATTAATTAATTTAGTATTTCCATCCTTGTCACTAGAAAGCTAAAGAAAGGGAGGTGTGAGGTTAAGAGAGAGGGACAGACTAGGGCAAGGTCAAAAGGCTCTAACTATAACCTTCTCTGAGCTCTGAGGACAGGAAGACCGGAAGGGATTTGGATTTGCCCCATCTTGCTTCTGCTTGCCACTTCGGGCCGTAGGACTTCATGCCCAGGCTCACTCAGCTCATTCTCAAACGACTGTCTGATGCCCCCAGGTGGCCCTACAGCTGTTCAGATCTCCCAACTGTCCCTCTGCAGCCCAGCCCCTGCTCTTCCAGCCTGGCCACTCATGCTCATCCCACCTAGATCAAAATCGCTTCTTGCATTTGTGACACCACAAGTCTGGACACAGGACTGGGTGGCCTGCCCTGGCACAGCCTTAGATAATTCCATTCTATTTATGCTGTGCTGAAATGGAAATAGCAATTGGGATTCTGCTTCTTTGGTGTGCTCACCTCTCCAAGGAGTTCCAAATTCAGTTCTTGCTTGGCCTCCTTGCACCCTCCCCCACCAACAGGAAGACATACACAAACATACATGTACATGTAAGTACACACACACACACACACACACGTGTGCGCCTTTCTATCTTCCATTTTGAGGCATGAAAACTCATTTAGAGGGAGACTGTTTGGTGATCTTGACTGCTGTTTGTTTCCTGAAGGGGAAGTCACCTTAAATACATGACATCTTTGAAACTGTCTATATTTACATCTCTTAAATATATTCAGGGAGTCCATGGAGGATGCCATGGGGCCAACCATGGTCCCATGTAGGTTCCATGCAGGAGAAGTTCCTTTCCCACATTTTTTCCAAGTCTCGTTCTGGGCTGGGGCCAGCCTTGGACGGCTGAGGAGGCTCACGTAAGGTGTCCTCAAGCCTTCCCAGGGGACACAGCTTCCTGGGTGGCTCTCAAATCTCTTATAATCTGGAGGAGTCTGTAAATCAGTTTTTGAGGTCCCTAACTTTTATTATGAAGTCAAGTCATCCTGAAGTTCTCACAGAGCTGAAAAGAAACCACTCTAGTGGGTAAAGTCAATAGGTTTCTCCATGATCAGAAGCTGTTTCACCTTTCCTGCTGTGCAGCCTGTGGGAAGAGCTTCAGAATCTCAGCTTGGACCCAGGTCACTTGGGACAATTCCTTCACTTTCAGTTCTAGAAAGTAATCCTTGCCAAGTTTGTTTTTCAGGTGCTGGATGGAGCCGATGCACCTATGGGCAAGAAGGAAAATGTGTTGGAAAAATGATTGCTTCTTAAGTTTCTTACTTTTTTCTTTTCTTTAAATGTTTATTTTTGAGAGAGAGAGAGAGAGAGAGAGAGACAGAGAGAGAGGATGTGAGAGTGGGAGAGAGAATCCCAAGCAGGCTCTGAGCTGTCAGTGAAGAGCCCAATACGGGGCTCATACCCATGAACCGTGAGATCATGACCTGAGCTGAAGTCAGACACTCAACTGATTGAGCCACCCAGGTGTCCCTCTTACATTATTTTTACATTTCAAATGGAAGGAAAGGGTATATCTCTGAGTGAGCTGAAGGGGAGAACTCCAGGTGCTAAGAGTGATTTTGTGCTTTCTATGGGGAATCTTGTTTTGATGGTCAAGCACAGACTCCAGAAAGACACCCACCTCAGCCTTCCAGATACCATGATGGCGATGCGGTCACAAATGGCCTCAGCTTCAGCCAGGTAATGGGTGGTCAGTAGGGCCCCCCTCTCTGTGTTTTTAATGGCTGCCTGGATCACCTGCCTGGAATGAATAAAAAACTTGCCATTAAAAAAAGGGTAGAAAAAAAGAGAGAAATGGAGGGAGAATTGTAGAGATAAAATACAGTTTATGAATCATATTTACAGGTCAAGTTTCTAATTCAAAAAGCAGAAATGTGAATATTGATAAAGTTTTTGATAATGTGAAGCTTTTAATATTTGTAATGCTTTAATATTAATATTTAATATTCCTAGGTACACCCATGGCATTCTGGTTAAGTTTTGAAAAAAGAAAATTTCCTTTCTTTTGAAGAAACTAACTTAAATATTTATAAATAAAGGATAGGCTGCTTAGTGTTTGCTTCGTACTAATAAGAGAGTGGAGGAAAGAAGTGGGTGGAAGTATAATGTAAAGGGTGCACCCTGGGTGGGTGACTGTTGAAATGGGTAATGGGTATATGGATTCATCGATGATTCTCTTTACGTTTGTACAAAGTTTCCACAACAAAGTTATTTAAAGAAGAAGGGAAACTATTGGACAGTCACAGATATGAATTTGGACAAGATAATTTTATTAATCCAAATGGAACGTCCTAGAAAGGAAAGTAAAAATGACTAAAAATTAAGAAAAACTGAATGAGCAAATTTGACAGATTTGGTAAAGGCGGGAGAAAAAGAAACGGGGAAATATATAAGTTCATAGCTTCTAAAATAAGCTTGTTAGATACACCTCAATAATTTAAAAAATTATACTCCAAATTGCAAGACCTAAAGCTCCAACAAAAGACGTAAAAGTTTTAAAAAAGTTTTTAAAAATGTTTTTATTTATTTTTGAGAGAGAGAGAGAGAGCAAGCCCGTGCGCCCGTGAGCAAGTGGGGGAGGGGGAGAGGGAGACACAGAATCTGAAGCAGGCTCTAGGCTCCGAGCTGTCAGCACAGAGCCTGATGCGGGGCTCGAACCCACAAACCCTGAGATCATGACCTGAGCTGAAGTTGGAGGCTTAACCAACTGAGTCACCCACTCATCCTAAGGGTTTTTTTTTTTTAATGTTAATACCACATGAAATAATACATTAGAGAATCTATATGTTAAATATATTTATTTCCCCAATTATATGAATTATCTTCACTAGATTACAAATGAGTGGATTTGATGTTCCAAGATCAGTTTAAAAACACAGCTTTTATATAGTTTATACTCCTGGCTCTGAGGGTTATGACAGCGCTCACCACATTTGCTGCTGTCCTCTGGGGTCCATGCCTGTCGATGGTTCATCCAGAAGCAGGATCGGTGAATTTCCCAGGACACTCAGCACAAAAGACAACTGAAAAGCAGACAGGCAGCTTATTTTGCTGCTCCCATCATATCAGCACTTGGAATAACGTCACACATCACACGTACCTTTCTAGTGGCTCCTGTCGTCAATTTCTGCACCGGCACATTTAGCTGTTCATGCAGCGTGAAAGTATCCACCAATCTGATGGAAAACAGGATGAGAATATCAGCTCAAAGGAGGGTTTTTGGAAAATGTAATCCCACGGAAGAGTAATAGCGTTCGGAAGGAAGCTTGGCGCTATTACACTGAAACTCTAACGATCAAAGAAAAAAACCGTTTGTTTCAGAACATGGAAGATTTTTCATCTCGTCAAAAGTTCTGAAGCGTAACTATTCATGATCATTCATTCATTTAACACTGTCAATTATTATATGCAATTATTACTTTTTTTTTTTTTTAAAGATCCCTCAATCAAGGATGCAGGACACAGCTCCTGACCTCCATCCCTGCTCGACACTGACACTCTGAAAAGTGTCATTTCTACTCTCCATTCTTTATTCGCAAATCTATCATCAGTAGGATAGCCGCCCTCCCTGCCTCTGGACACAAAGGAATCACATGACCTCATTTTACCGGGAAATGGCAACAGCAGCGTCCCCTTTCCTCAGCCCTTTGATGGCCGCGAACACCTCCAGATGTTCCCTCACTGTCAGGCAGGGCCACAGCACGTTCTCCTGGGGACAGTAACCCAGGAACTCCACCGTGGTGTCTCCCTGCCGACCCCCAACGGGACCACATCCTCTCAGCTCCACCTGAGAAAGTAAACCGGTTTTAGACACACACGTAGCCTTTTCTCCAATCTCGCAATTCTTCAGAAAACCAACACTGAGCTAAAGAATACCACAGTTTTTGGGGCACCTGGGTGGCTCGGTCGGTTAAGTGTCCGACTTCAGCTCAGGTCATGATCTCACAGTTTGTGGGTTCAAGCCCTGCATCGGGCTCTGAGCTGACAGCTAGCTCAGAGCCTGGAGCCTGTTTCAGATTCTGTATCTCCCTCTCTCTGACTCTCCCCTGCTCATGCTGTTTCTCTCTCTCTCTCACAAATAAATAAAAAACATTAAAAAAAATTTTTTAAAAGAATATCAGTATTTTCAGCATCAAAAAATTATTCTAAGAGTGAAATCATAAAGCATTTGTCTTTCTCTGTCTTATTTCACTCATTTCACATTATACCCTCTGCACCCATCCACGTTGTTGCAAATGATAGAAATATTGAAATCATTTTATTGTATACCTGAAACTAAACACTGTATATTAACTGTACTTCAATAAGAAATGTTTAATTAAAAAGATAAATAAGTATACAAAAATTAGAAAGCTAAAAAAAAAATATAACAGAAACTGGTTCATACATTTATTACAGAAAATTACTGAAACTACTAAAAGTAGAGTCTTACAAAGATACAGCCTGCATTTATCATGAAATTTATATTTTGGGAAAGAAAATCATTCTTGCATTTTTTACTACCTCTCCAGCTGTGGGCTTTGCGATCCCAGAAATCATTCTAATAGATGAACTTTTACCAGCACCGTTAGCGCCTAGCAATCCCAAAATCTCACCTGAAAGAGAATCACTGATTATCAATCTGGGAAGCGAATTATCACAAATCTATTTCTTCTGAGATATGTGCACCCGTGGTACTACTTTGAAATTTATAACATGTTTGTAATTCATGTCACCAAACCATGTTCTTTAATTCCTATAATTATATGAAATACTAGTGAAAATCTTGTGGCTCTGATGTCAATAAGTCTTTTGTTTTCCAGATTACTGTTTCAGGGAAAAATGTGCCAGATGTGCTTTGGTAGTAGATGACAGATGTTTTGAGTCCATGTTTAAGTGATTCCTAAACTTGGAAAGTCAAGGACATTTTGTCCATCCTGAATTCCCCAACCTGCGTCCAAGCCACTATCGTTTTTCATCTGAACTGATATAAGAGCCTCTTAATTTGTCTGCCACCCATATTTACAAGCAAACAATAGCTAATGTGAAGTTTTTTTCAAAGCTTAAATGGTAACAAAAAGCTGGCTAAAAACCCTCCCGTGGCATTCTACTAACTTGGTGTAAAAATCTAACCCCCTGGCTGTATTTCACAGAGCAGCATCTAATCTGGCCCAGCTCTGCTCTTGGACTTCCTCCCTCCCACCTGCAAATTCAGCCACTGACCTCTGAGCCTCGACCTTTCCAAAGGCAGCCCTAAGTCTGAGTCCCTGGCCTCGCTGTTCTCTCTCCCTGGGTGCTCCGATCTCTTCCTGCTCACGTAACTGACACCTTCTTATCACCCAGGTCTAGGCTTAAATGTTACTTCTCAAGAAAGGTCTTCCCTAACCCTAAGTGAATGTAGCCTCAAGTTGCTTGTGTTATTATACGTATTTGAATGCTCCACATAGAAAGTGCTTATGTGCTGGGGCGCCTCGGTGGCTTAGTCCGTTAAGCACTGGACTTCGGCTCAGGTCGTGATCTTGTGGTTCATGGGTTCAAGCCCCACGTCGGGCTCTGTGCTGACAGCTCAGAGCCTGGAGCCTGCTTCAGATTCTGTGTCTCCCTTTCTCTGCCCCTCTCCCCATCTCTTTCTCTCTCTCTCTCTCTCTCAAAATAAACATTTAAAAAAATAAAAAAGAAAAAGAAATTGCTTTTTTGCCGACACTTCTCTAGGTAAGTTATTTCTGTTTTCTGATCCTCTCTTAAGATGTAAAATCCATGAAGTTAGGGACTTGCCTATTTCTTTCATGATTATATTCCAGAACCCAAAGTAGTCCCTGGCATGCTTAAAAATATATGTTGAATGAACGAATGAATGAATGCTTCAGCAAGTACAATGGTGCCTATAACATAGATGTTCAGTGGGTACTTGTAAAAGAATGGTGAGTAAGCTTAAGTGATTCTTCCAAACCTTTATTAACACAGAAGGAGATATTTCTTGCTGCAACTTTCTTCTTCCTCTTTGAGAAGCAACTTTTCTTCTTCCCCACATATTCTTTGTGGAGACAGCTAGCAATTATGACAGGTTTCTGGAATAGAGGACAGTGTGATTTTCTTCTTAAGATTAAGAGATGTTAAGTTCCTACATTCTCACTGCTAGAATCTTTCTTACTCTATGTCATAAAACAAAGTATATTTTAAATGGAGAGTAATCAAATCAATGTCGCTTGTTTCAAATGTAACATGCATTCATTGGTGTCAACAATATTTCTTGCTCCTAAAATAAAACAGATAGCTTCGTGGAAACTGGCTCCTTGCCTTTCCAGAAGTGCTGAAGCTCGGGGGCACATCACAACATCTAAAACACTTTAAATCTTAATTCCCATTCAGTATTTTGTAACAAATCTCACATAAATTCTCCACCTTGTGAAATTTTTGGTTTTGCAATTATAGCTCTACCTATCAAAGCCCATTTTTCTCAGAAGGAGAATAAAACCAGGGCACCTGGGTTGGCTCAGTCGGTTGAATGTCCGACTTCAGCTCAGGTCATGATCTTGTGTTTCCTGGGTTTGAGCCCCACGTTGGGCTCCGTGCTGACAGCTCAGAGCCTGGAGCTGCTTCAGAGTCTGTGCCTCCCTCTCCCTCTGCCCCTCCCCTTACATGCATTTGGTCTCTTTCTCGCTCAAAAATAAACATTAAAACTTTTTTTTCTTAAGTGGAATAAAACCTTTATATTCCACGTTCTCCTTTGAGCTTCCAGGACGCTCCAAAGAAGCACTTGTATATTTAGGAATTTTGAAAAGGCACCAAACTCCAAACTTTCAAAAAGAAAACCAACAGATCCACCTCTATTCTTGACACTTCTTGAATATAGGGCCATTAACATGCACTTTGTCACTTGTTTTTCTACCTCGTCTGAATGTGAAGTGACCAGTGCAGTCGCTGTTCTTATCCTTTCTGCTTTCACATCTTCATCCTCATCATCAGGTTCTTGTAGGTTAGGCTGAGCACCTCTACTCTGGGGGGAAATTCTGTGGAGAAAATGAAATGTAGTGCATAGTATTTCTTCATTACGAATGATATCCTTCAATCAGCATCTCTGTGGTTGTACCATTGCCCTTTCTTTCAACAAACTGGTGATTCAACAAACTCCCATTCCTGTAGCCAGAATTGCCTTCTCCATGTTGTTCCTGTCTTCCAGTTAGAATCTCTGACCCATGCAAATTTGCTGGCAAATACTGCTGCTGCTCGAAAATTCAGGTCACCTACATTTTTTCTGTTGCCTCTGAGCCTATCTAAATCACACCTGACATTTGCTTCAGCATCTTCTAGAAAGTCCGTTATGAAAATACTCTCAACTACATTGCTCAACCAACTCCATTCCATCTCCTCTGTTCAGGGATGTGTGATCATCTTAGAGGGGAGTATTCATTAAATTTCTGAGGAACTGAAAACTTCCTTCTGCTGATTAGTGACTGAGAGTCTTATTTCCAGGCAGTAAGGCAGCAATCCAGCGACCATTGTGAAAATCAGCATCCTGCCTATGTTGTAAATATAAACCCACATCAATGAGTCAGTACTGCGGCCACTATGCAGAGAGGTTCAAATAGGATATTGAGGTCAAAATCAAGTTTTATCCCAACCTGAAAACAGGATCCCTTCGCATTATTTTCTTTCCCCACTTTGCTTCCATGCATCTCAGGATAAAAGCCAATATCAACGTCTGAAAGTAGGGCTAGGAGCAAAGAAAAAACAGTTACATGTAGGCATAAGTTCACAAATTTTATTTAAATGTCTAAATTAAATTGCTGGTCTTTGTCTTCAGGTAAAATGCAGGTGAATCATTCTTACGAATAGGGGAGAAATCTGGCTGCACAGTGACAATCCAGCTTCGGGCATCTGCCTCCTTTCTGCTCACAACCCACATCCTGTCTGTCAGCGGATTTCCCCTGCTCTAACTTCAAAATCACCCAGAACCCAACTGTCTCTTACTCCTGCCTGTGCTGCTCCCCGCCAAGGTCCAGGCTGTCATGATTTCTCGTTATAATATTACAACCCCTTGCTCCCTGGTACCCTTCTCCTTCTCCCCTTGCTTCCGACATCTGTGCTTAACACGGTAACTAGAGCTACTCTTTTACAACACAAGTCCATAAATAAACTAAAAAAACCCAACAAACATGGTGCCTGGGTGGCTCAGTCGGGTAAGCATCTACCTCTTGCTTGTGGCTCAGGTCATGATCTCAGGGTTTTATGGGTTCGAGTCCCTGCACTGTGCTCTGTGCTGGCAGTATGGGGCCCGCTTGGGATTTTCTCTCTCTTCCTCTCTCTCTGTCCCTCCCCCACTCACACCATCTCTGTCTCTCTCAAAATAAATAACCTTGAAAAAAACAAAAATAAAATAAAACATAAGTCTATTCATACTGCTTTGCTTAAAACCCTCCAATGTGTCCTCGGTTACTCAAAAGAAAAGTTAGTCCTTATAGTGACCCAGAATGCTCTGTGTGAGCTTTTTCTGTCCACGCACTAAACCCTGTGACCTCTGAGACCTTCTCTTGTACCATTCTCTCCTTGGTCACTCTGCCACAGCCACACTGGCCTCCTGGCTCACCCTGGGACAAGCCAGGGTCCCTCATGCCCCTGTTACTGGAACACTCTTCCCCAAGCTATCCCTACAGCCTGCCATCTTGCCCCACCTCTGATCTTTATTTCTCAATCAGGCCTATTCATGACTACCCATCTGACACAATATATACTATTTATTTTAGTGTATTGTCTGTCTCCTCCCACCAGAATATAAGCTCCACAAAGGCAGAGACTTCTGTCCATTTTTACTCCTATATCTGGAAAAGTAGTGACACATTGTATTCAGAGACAGTTGCTTTCTTCAGCCTAAGCACACAAACAAAATCGTTTCCTTTCATTTTTATTATTCAACTTTGCCCTTTTTATCTCTAATGCAAAGGATTTAAGCTATATCAAACCTATGTTTCTTATAAGCTCTCTCAAATTTGGAGATGGAATAAACAGGATAAATAAACATGAAAAATTAATTTCATATTAAATTCTGGACCTACCCAGTCCACTCATGCATATAAAAACTAACTCATGCTTTGGAATCATATTTGAATTATCTTATTCTGAGACTATATCAAAAGGGCTGTCAAAGTTGGTACCCATCAGATAAGACCAAATGGTTATTATAGTAAATTATAACTATAAAAAAATAGATAGAGAGGTAGAAAGGCCTTCTTACTATTAGGCATACTAGAAGATCAACTGCACTCAGGTCAAAATGGTGGTCTGGATTGTTTGAATCATCGTGCACCTGGGCTCTCTGCATAGACAAAAAGAAAAAGAGCTAAATGGAAATTCATCAACTTTATGATATGCATTTAAATAGTATGGAATTCCAATCAACCAACCAACCAACCAACCAACCAACCAACCAACCAACCAGTCAATCGAATGGAAGTCTACATTGCATATTTTCAATGTAAGCATTAAGCTTGATTCCCCTGTGTGCACTGGTGACAAGTAATTTCCTGCAGGGAAGAGAAGGGACCCCTACTCCATGCTGTCTCTCAGGGAGACCTATGTTTGTTCCTCTTTTCCAATCTTTGTTGTTGTTGTCGTTGTTAAATCTTTTGGTTTAACATTTGCTTCAAGTCTACTGAAAGCATCACAGAGAGAGGATCCTTTTGAAAAATAATAGGGATTGAAAATATTTGCCCCAAATGCTCTTCAAGAGCCTTTTCTGGGGCCCTTCCTACCCCAGTGGTGACTTTCCCACCATAATAGTTAGCCACATCATGCTAGTCTTTCTTCCTCAGTCAGTACATTCAGAAAGTGGCTCATTCCTCCTAAATAATGTATGGCAGATCTAAGTTAGTGTGGTTCACTTGGCAGGTCTGCTTATATTTGGGGGGAAGAAATGGTTTAAACAAGGAATGAATTTCCGGTTGAGAATTCTAAGTGTTGCTCAATCAATGGAAGAGGACTTTTGCAGACAGAAGGCTTCCCTGGGTCCCCAAGAACATGAGGGATTAGGGCCACTTTCTCTATTTTCTTTGAAGTATCATCCCAGTTGATGTGGGGCTCTAAAGAGCATGTTCCTGGCTGAGCTAGTCAGCTCATCTCATTGTACACTTCTTTCCATCTGACTCCCACTTTCTTTAATGCCTCCTGGTCTTTCCTGCTTCAGTGTCTTTGTCTCCCTGCACAGATTATGCTTACCTCCTGCTCCACTCTCCCACTAATTAATTCTGACTCATTCTTCAGGATCCTGTTGGAGCACTGCTCCCCCTAGAAGAATCTTCTGACTCTCTAGAACATGTCAACTATGCTTTGTGTGTTGCCCTAGGCACTTTGCCCTTCTATTTTGGAACCTTTAATCCTTTTGCATTGACTTGTTTCACCAAGTGAACGGTGAAAAGATGCATTTTGCCATCTTGTTCATCAGGTGTCCCCAATGACCAGCACAGGACCTACCACAGAGTACTGGTTAATGTATATTTTTGAACGACTAAATGGCATTGTAGATGGTTTTATCCTCACAATGGATAATGAATACCTATTAAACTAGGCAACATTTTTCAATCTGGCATTAGACTTGAATAGCATTTGACATTGCTTATGTTTTACAAAGTGCATATGGCAAAGCTTTATTGAGGTTAATTTTTCAGGCCAGGAAATTCACTCATTTGAGGTATACAATTCAAGGATTTTTAGTAAATTTATAGAGTTGGGAGAGCATCACCACAATTCAACTTAATAACATTTCCATCATCCCAAAGAGATACCTCATATGCATTTGCTGTCAATCTCCATTCCCATCCCAACCCCAGGAAACCACCAACCTGTACTTTGTCTTTATGGAATTGGGGCAAAGCACTTTAATAGGCTGCATATTCAAAATTAATGACATAGTGGTTAATATTTCTTACCTCGGCCAAAAAAGCTAGAAATTCACCCATGGTAGATGAGGGAACTAATATCATGCTGGAAATCAAGATAGGTAAGTTGAAGTAATTCATTACAAGGGTGTCAAACATGATGGTTGCAGTCTACAAGGCAAGTTAAGATATACTGCATGTCAAACATATACAGTCCACTGATATTTAGGAAAATATTTAAAATGTAAATGTTCTCATCATATATAACAGAATTTCCCCACATACCTTCAGAGGGAGAAGGGAAGGGAAGGGATTTTGTTAATGAGAATAAATATGACTGTTTGCTCCCCAACAGAAACATTTTAGATAAAAATCTGGAGATTAAGGCAAAGACTTCCTGATGGTGCATTACATGCAATCTAAGACAATAAGATAAAGAGAGAAATCACCTTTTTATAGCTAAGGTAACAATATTGTGAATGTATAAAAACCTGCATAGGATGAGAAGCTATATGGGTAGTTATTTTTAGAAGTCCATAATGCCTCCTACCTAAACTAATGCTTTCTCAATGTCATTCTTGCTCCATTTATTGCCCATTCCAAACAGGTAATTTTACTGAGATTGTGCATTTTGATTACAATGAACTTATTTCCTTTTAAAATACTGGTAAATGTGGGATGGGGGATAGAGATGATTTTTCACTGTTCTGTTTTAAGAATCAGTTTATTCGTCAGTTTATGTGTATTGAGCACTGTACTGAACCTTTGCTGGATCTTATTAATGTAAGAATTATAATAAAAATAGTAAAAATTGTAGCTATTAAATTCACTGAATATTACACACACCCCAGGCATTAAGAACTTAGCATGCATTGTTTGTTTTAATGCTCATAGCACCATAATATGGTCATTCTTACTATTTCTTCTTTGTATGGGAAATCCAGGGTTCAGAGACCATAAATAACATCCTCAAGACCACACAGTTAGTCAGTGACAAAGTTGGAACTCAAAACCCTGTGTGTGTGTGATTCCTAGGTCTTTATGTCAGAAAACTATACTGTTTAGTGGGATGGTTACAGATGGGAATGTTGTGTGATTACTCAGCGAATTTATAGTTTGGGGCAATGGATAATCTACATATAAAAACAATTGGGAATAGAACTAAGTAAGCTGTACTCAAGTGTTCAATAAGAGCACAATAAGCATTTTAGATGGCAAATCCAAAAAATTTTTCTCATTTTACAACCACTACAATCTCTCTGCGAAGGTATCGCATGCTTATCCACATTTATGTATTTCGATTCTCTCAGTTTCCATGAGATCACACTTGTCTAATTTTTCCCCTATCTCCTTATTTTTGATAACTATAAGTCCATTAGTCCATTCATCTAACTCCTCTTGTTGTACCAGGTCTCCAAATTTCTTCTTTTGTGAGTTGTTTTTTCCTCCTCTCTCATCCACTGGAACAAGACTGCATTGAAGGAAATATGCTAAGACTCAGTGTGCTAAGAAGGTGTGGTAACCTCCATCATGCGCTGACAGGTGCCTCCTTATTAGACAAGGACCTAAGGTACCCATGAAGTACCACACCCTGTGGGCTATGAGAATCCACTGGACTCTAGAAACAAATTAACAGCTGACTGTGGCTTCACTCAATGATGGAAAGCCTTTGCCTACACTGTCCTTCCAAATATACCCCAAACCACAAAAGGACAGCTGCACTGACTGTCATCCGATACATTTTTATATATGATCTGAGTGACTACAAATGACCTCAGTGCTAAGAGTAGCATGGTTTAAATGGATACTAACTGCATGATGAAAGATCAGTTCTCACAGTACATGTAGCCTCAACATAGATTTCAAACAAAATGACAAGTTCTTTGTACCAGGCAGAAAGTTATTGCAAACAGCTTGAGGTCTCTATGAAGATGGATGCTAAATTGTAAATCAAAGATTCACGCTAAAATCAAGATGCTGATCAAAACAAAATTTAAATTAGTATTGTCAAGCATGCTACTACCTCGTATCTTGGGACATGAGGAATGACGTGATGTTTGAGACTTCAATTTTATTCTTCAGTCATCACTAATTTTTGTGTGACCTTAAACAAGTTACTCATTTCCCCCCCTCTATAAAATAAGGTGAATTATACCAGATAATGATTTTTTTTCAAATCTGACATTCCAATATTCCATAAGCAGGTAGCTACTTTTCACTGACAGAAAAATAAAATAGACAAATACCCTAAAATAGATAAATATGAAAAGGGGAAAAGGAAAATAATCAGAAATTATAAACATGTATATTATACTGGAACACTAGAGTACATATATATTTTTTACATTTGGAACAAAGAAATCTCTATTTTCCAAAATTTACTTTGCCTCTGCAATACTGCCTCATCTTCTTTTAATCTATAATAATTCAAAAATAGTGGGCAGAAGAAGAAAAAGCCATCCAATCATATATAATTGTATTTCTATTTGAAAAACCGTGTTCTAGGCTTGCATGTTCATTGATCTGCTGGAGCCCTTTATTTACTAGTTTGCTCATATCACAGTGAGAACATCTCAATCATCACATTACTCCACAAACCTCAAAGGACAGGTGATTTGCATTAGTCTGACTTTCTTTAGAACCAGCAAAGTCAAATTTCTTCATTTGTTCATTTATTCACTTGCAGCTGAACAATTATGCAAGAGGAATTTATATGATAATGAGGATTCTATTTTGCCTTCTACCACATTTTAAAGGAAATGTGCTTTCATGAGACTTTCATTATTTGCATTTTTCCTGCTCCCTAAGTCAAGCAGTGAGAGCTGTTCAGGAAGATTCTGGCATACCAAGTCTGGAAAGCCTTCATATTCTGTTGAACTGATACACTTTGAAATCCTAGAACTTGGCTGGCAAAATTCTGTCCAAGTTTTCAGCAATCTTGGGCTTTCAGTAATCTTTCATTCATATTTACCAGTAAGTTCTCTGGCATAGGTACAAAAACAGCTTCAGTCTCTGAAATTATCAGCATCTGAGGTTAAGCAAGACTTTCTTCAAGATGGTAGAAACGGACTGTTCTGTCACATGCTACAAAGCCAATTTTTGTTCTAATGTTACCAGGAAGCACTTGTATTCTGAAGACCATAAACTCAATAGCAGCATCTTATACTTCAGGTCTTCTGTAAGGTTCTCCAGAAACCGTAGTCAAAGGTTTGTGTGTGAATTGTTCAGGAACGTCACTGACTCAGAAACATGTAACATTTCCTCTCCTTTCTATATAGTGTAAGTGAAAGGTATTACTTTTTCCCATTTCTCAAGGCAAAGGTGACTATATTTAATGTCACATTGAAAGATTAAAAAATAATTCTCTCTCTATCGATAGCTTTGTATATATACTTACAAAAAAGAAGCAAAATGACCAGAGGCCACTATTTTTTCTCCTCTTGCGAAAAATAAATGATATCACATATGTCAAGAAGACCAGAGAAGCTGCATAACCAAGCGTAAACACAACCTGAAGAGAATACAAATAATATCAGAGTCAGACACTGAAGTACTAACTGAGGGAAATATTAAATTACAGATATTTTTAAATGTCTTATTGCACATGCACTTTGAACTTTGTTTTGGCTTTACTTCATGACAAAATGAAAATGCATATGTTTTGCTTATAGAAAATATCAAATGTTATAATTTATAAGATATTGTCTGTATAGTGTGTTACTCACCAAAGCAAACACAATTCGACTTGTGATATAAATGCTCGTTATGTTTGCTATGTAGAAAATTAAATACATTGAAAGGAGAAGAAAAGCGAAGAGGCTAATATCCACCAGTGCCTGCCCACACCAGTAGGCAGAAGGGTAGAGGCCTGAGATCCATAGCTGGGACTTAATTCTCCTCTGATGAGAAAACAAAAGATACATAGATTCAGTTGAAATCAACAACTTGTAGAACATCTAATAATTTAATTATGCACATGCTATTTAGAACCTGAGGTTTAAAAAGCCTCAGGATGGTGGCCATTGTGGAAATATGTTTTATTTTATAGGTTTGATTCCCACTTTAACACATGCCTAATGAATAGAAAAGCAGATCTCATAATGATCAAGGCACAGGTCTCCTTCAAGAGCGATATTGCTCTGTGACCTGAAGCACAAGAAAGTATCCATTACCCAAGTATGTTTTGGGAGTTACAGGCTCAGGATAGGGATGGTGATTCAAAGTTCATCTCCTGGCCCATTGGATAAATCTGAATTGTTCTGTTTTGGATCACAGATAGGACCAAACACAAATACAACCACAAATTTTATCTTTGTGAAATATAAAGTCAAATATAGCTCAGGATCCACTTCAGGGTGTACACCAAAAAGAACTGAAAGCAGGATCTCAAAGAGAGATCTGTGTCTATTATAGTAGAAAGGGGATTTAAGTCTTCAGGCTTGTACTCAGTGTGAATATCAATGATTTCTTCCTTTTCCTTGGGAAATAACACAGTCGAAAGTTGTATAAGAGTCCCCTTTAAATATTTAAATTATTTTGAGTCCCTGTAAAATTATTGCATTTTTTCCTGAAATTTTGAAGTAAAAGATATTTTGTGTTTTTAGAAGGAAAGTTTGTGACTTTATAGAAATAATGCTTAACTATACTATCTAAATTAAGCAGATGTTTATATATATACTTTTTCCACAGGGAAACATTGTGAACACACAGCTTTTAAAACACAATTACTGAAGTGCCTGCAGTTTTTCTCCTCCCGACACTTTCCTTACTTTGTAATCGCTGATACTGCTCATGGAGATGTAAGGGGACATGCTGCATACCACCCAAAATAAGAACATGGAACCTTCTGGCAGCCCAATCCGGAATAACATGTAATTCTGCAAATATAAAAAAGGTATTTTAACTTGTGAATATTTTTAAAAAATGAAACAAATACTAATTATCATACAGAAAATGCTTTCTGAAATCTTAAAAATTCGAAATAAAAGCGTATGCCTCATTCAGCAACATCTGTGCATGAAGGTGGGAAGGGAAATGATTTCTGATCATTTAACATGAGGCTTCAACTTCTAGAAGAAAACCAGAAGCAAAATATAACTCAGGCCCCAGGGTGTACATCAAAAAGAATGAAAGCAGGGACTCAAAGAGAGATCTGCCCACACATGTTCATAGCAGCACTGTTCATAATAGCCAAGAGGTGGAAGTAACCCAAATGTCCATCGAACAGATAAAGGAATAAACACAATGTGATATATACATACAGTGGAATATTATTCAACCTTTATAAGGAAGGAAATCCTGTCACATGTTACAACATGAATGAATTTTGAGGACATTACTTTAAGGGAAATAAGCCAGTCACAAAAAAACCAAATACTACATGATTGTCCTTATATGAGGTATCAAAAGTAGTTAATAGAAACAGAAAGTAGGATGATGATTCCAGGGCCAGTGTTAAGGGAATAATGGGCTGTTCTTGTTTGATGGGTATGAAGTTTTAGTTCTGCAAGACAAAGAAGTTCTAGAGATCTGTTTTACAATACTGCGAGTATACTTAACACTACTGAACTATACACTTAAAAGTGGCTAGCTAAGATGGTGGATTTTATGGTGTGTGGTTTGGCCACAACACCAGAAATAATAACTTGGGAATTATGATCCTGGAAAAACAGATTTTTCAGGTCTGAGGAGCATGTCTTTCTCAGCAACCCAAGTGATGGATAAGTGAAGACATCAGCATCCAGTTGGATGTGTTCTAAAGTAAAGACCTTTATGCCACCAAGCCAACAGGCCAGGAGATGAACTTTGAATCACCATTCCCAAGTCAGTGTCTGCCTGGGGCTGGGCCTATGCTCAGTTAGCCCGGGCACAGGACTGTCTCTTGGATATAATGACAGTTCAGCAGTACAGTCGGCTATCTCAAAACAATTCTACCATTCTCAAGCTTTACTTAAGGCTTTAGAAGCTACATCTATACATTCAAATATTTCACCTGGTGGGGAAACACATTACTGTTTTCTTAAGAACGGCTGAGAGAAGAAAGGTGTGTGCCACTGAGGATGCCTAAGAGAGGAACCATGTGCCTTGTCTACTTTGATCCTGAATAAATATGTAATGACATTTGGAAACTAGGAGACCAAGAGGGGACATCTATCTCTTTCTACTGCCAGTTGATTCTATTTTCTGGAGTTTTCCCTTCAGACAACACTACTCTTGCACTGTCCTGGTTCTCAGAGTTAATGGTGGCTTCAACTCATAGATGCATATGTCCATTGCTGACCTCTCAAGTATATTCTGTTCATCTCCTCTTGCATGTACCACTAAGGCTGTGAAAACAAAACTGAATTCAATCCCTTTGTCACAAAATGGCCTTCCCCTTTTGATGGTTCCATTTTTTTCTTTTGAGAGAGAGAGAGAGAGAACAAAATCAGGGGGGTGGGCAGAGAGAGAGAGGAAGAGAGAGAATCTCAAGCAGGCTCCACACGCAGAGTACAGATTGCAACTTGGGGCTCAATCTTACAACTGTGAGATCATGTCTTGAGTCAAAATCAAGAGTCAGACACTTAGACGACTGATCGATGGCTCCATTTCTAATCCTGTTTTTTCTATTTCCAATCGCCTGGTTTGAAATAGTTTGAGTCAGCTCTAAGAGATCCCTCTTGAGTATCAGGGTCTAACCAGAAAACCAATACCACCTTCAGCACTTAGAAAAGAGTCGTGCAATGGTCACATGGGTGGAAAGGGCAGAGAAGCCAAGAAGGAGAATGAAGCAAGAAGACACTGTCACTTCTGGGCTGGAGGGACAAAGGAAGGGAGAAATGTGACTAGAGACTGGACTCCAGGTTGCAGGGCCCTCTTGCTCTCCAGCCTCTCACTACTGCTTTCTATTGTCTAGATCCAGGCTATCGCCAGCTGACAAGGAACTGTGGAAATGCAGCCTGTGGACTTCAGATATCCCTGCGATGCAGAGCAACTACAGGTAGATGAAGGAATTAATCGGGATGCAGATAGCCCAAGAACTGGCCAATTCTCCTTCAGATCCGTCTACCATCCATTTAGTCAGTGAGGGTCCATGAGCAAATTATATTAGATTTACAAGATTCTAAAGCTGTTTTACAAGCGTTCCTGATTTCCAATTCAGTGTACACACACACACACACACACACAAACACACACACCCTCATTCACACTCTCTCCAATACACTTCTGCAATGAAATCTGTATCTTTGCAGAAGATTCTTTAGAAGACTTTGACATAGTATTGAACTGTATTCCCCCATGAGCACTCTCTGATAATACCAAGAAAAAAAAATCATATTTTGTTAGATATAATGGTTAAGTCTTTGGACAAAAAAAAATCTTAGGATTAACAATCAATTATGAATATCTAAAAGTTAAAGAGGGAACACACTCGTTGCTTGCCGAATTCCTAATTGTTTAGAATGAGCAAATCCAGCACTTACAAAGGGATATGGGCTTCTCTCAATTCGAATATTTTGTGTAGAATTAAACATTCGGAGGAGTCCATTGCTAATAATATTCACAAGAATAGGAAAACAGTGCAGCCTCAAGGTATTGCACACAACTGAAAATCTATAATCCTTTGAATAAAACAGAGACAAAGTAATGTTAATTCTAAATCACTAAAGAACAACAAAAACGTTTTTATATTAATATTCTCAATATGGTTGACCCTTGAATGACACAGGTTTAACTGACACAGGTCACTTACATGAGAATTTCTTTCAATAAATGTAGTGCAGTAGTGTTAAGTGTATTTTCTCTTCCTTCTGATTTTTCTCAATAACATTGTCTTTTCTCTAGCTTACCCTATTGCAAGAATACAGTATATAATACATATAACACACAAAGCATGTACTAATTGATCATTTATGTTATCAGTAAGGCTCTGGTCAACAGTAGGTTCTAAGGAGGTAAGTTTTTAGGGAGTTAAAACTTATCCGTGGATATTTGATTGTGCAGGGATTTGGTACCCCTAAAACCCATGTTGTTTAAGGTCAACTGTACATAGAAATAGCTTTAGACTAGTTTGCCATTGAATAGGATTCCTTAAAGTCATGGTTGGTAATTATAAGGTCTAATATTTTATTGAATCTGAAGAATGCAATTACATTTAGCTACTTTCAAACACAGAAATCATCTAATTCCAAAGTTAAGATAGAAAACATTTTACAAAAGCCAATTTACATTTCAGTTTATTCAGTAATGATTCCCAAATGCTTTTAAACCAATCTGCAGTGTACAAGCTGGGTTGACCATTTTTTAAAACAGTTAAAAATGTAGCACTTGGTTTTTTTTCTTTTTTCATGAAAGTAAAAGCAAGAGGCAAGAGGCAAACATACCTTTTGTTTGCCAGAAACTATGATAGCTCCATTGTATGACAGGTCATCAGTGCCATTTCTGTTTGCAAAGTCATCTATTTCCAAAAGTATATTTTGATGCTTCAGTGACTGTATAAAATCTTCAATATTTGATTCTAGTATGAAATCAATAACAGAAGGCCACAGAATGAAAGAACATAGATGTCAAATCTTTAAAATAAACCACAACACAATTTTAAGTCAATATTTATACACTATTATGTGAAGACAATTCTCTCCCAATAATATTAGTGTACTCCACCATCTCCTATTTATCAAATCTTGTGCTGTGATGAGTTAGCTTTATAATTCTTTTTAGGGCAAGTTAACATGTAACTATTAAAACAAGATAATTCTATTTTATGACTCTTGGCTACAAAAAATACATTTGAACTAAAAAATTTGTGAAAATACAATAATTTTATTTACTTCAGATGAGCCAGCCTAAAAGGGCCAATAACAATACTTCCCTCTCTGCCTTATTCTTCAGAAAAACAGAAAAGTAAATAATATATGTGTGTGTATTAACATATACATATATTTTATATACATACATATTACTTATATATAATACATGTTTTCACATATATTTTAAATTATGTAAATTAACATATATTTTATATAATGTACTAATTTATAAAATTAATATAGAAATTAATATATTTTATAGAATATATGTATATGTATTAAATATGCATAAATAGAAAATATGTTAATGTATTTTAAATATTTAAATATATAAATGTTTTATATACATTTATATATATATATAGGTTTTTTTTGGTGTAAAAAATGAAGAGTGCCCCTATCAGACCAAAGTTTTTGATATGCCCCTACAGAAGAAAGCAGATGAGATTTGTTTGACAGAGAAAAACCCACAGCCTTTTTCCACTATAAAGGAAACGCCAATCTCCAGGATATGTAAATTCAGAGTGGACAAATTCAAGGGGGCAACATGGGCTCTGAAGCCACAGTCATGCTCATTAACTGGTCACCCCCACCAGAAACGAAGTGCCCACAGGCCTGTCTCTCCCCGTGTTCCACACAGAGCAGCTGTGCTCAGTAGACAAGTCCCCAGACTTACTTGTTTAAAAAAAAGAGACACCGTTTGGGGAAAACGCCAGGACAAGATTGAAAGGAGCTCCAGACAATTAAAAGGACAGGATGGAATAGAAAAAGGAAAAAGGAGGACTCTCATTTTGTGCTCATTTGGACTTTGAAATGGAATTTATACTGTGACTCAGAAGGGGTTCTGGGATCAGATACACAGAGTCAAGCCCTAGATGAATTAGGACCCCCACCAGGTGGGAAAGGAATGGACACATAGAAGATAAGCTTTCCAGGCATCCTGAGGCACCGTGTGCTACACCCCATTTCCATAGTCGCTGAAGGAAGGAAACCTTAATGGTTACCCACACTCACTTAGGCAAACAGAGATTCTTTGATTTAAAGATGAACATCTTACCAAGAATCATCATATTCTGAGAAAAGAGGAACAAGATGGCACAGAAGCCCCAAGCTTAAATCACAAAATACCTCACAACTGAGGACAGGGAAGAAAAATAAAACAAGTTAATCCAAGTAGATTGTTCTTAGAACAACTGGAAAGTGTATACATGAGACAACAACAGGCTGATAAATAAAATAAATAGGCTGATAAAAATAGGCTGAACATTTCTAGATCTTAGAAATAAAATATGCAAGTAGCAAGACTTCCTATTTTAGGTAGCAGAGTGAGACTAAAATTTACTTTCTAAAACCCAAATTGAAAAGAAAAATGAGAAACAGAAATTAAAGGGCCACCTTTGTTTAAAGAGGAGAACCTACAACCTGAGGCCACAGATACATATGAATATTGGAATGGGCTGGGTTACTCATCTAGAGAGGACTCCTATGCTGAAACATATATATATGCTTGACATCTTCGGTGGAAACAAAATGTTCCTCAAAGTTAAACAAGAAGTTAGACAAAGTCAATTACCCATAATTTAGAATTAAAAGAGCATGGGTACCAGACTGTCTTGAGGAGTCCTGAAAAAAGTTTAAGTGGAGAGGCAAGATGGCGGAGAAGTAGGGAGCTCCGTACATTTCTGTCTTGAGGAATCTTCCTAGATCCTACTGGAGGGGCCTAGGGTACAACAATATGTTCTTTTCCCAGCAATCAGTGTGTATAATATTTATGGAACAGGTTAGGCTGCTGTAACAAAGAGACCTCAAATAGAGTAGTTCAGTCAATACTGAAGTTTGTTTCCTTCTCGCATAATAGCTTGGGGTGGTCGGGGAGATAGGCAGTTCTTCTTTAACCAGGTTAACTAGTGATCCCACATTCCTTCTGTCTTATCACACCTCATCTCCAAAATCAGAGCAAATATGCATAGTTCCTCAGCTGTTTTCTATAAATGAAGTCTAACCACACATTTTATTTTCTTATTTATGTTTTTTCCCCCTCTCCATAAAAATAACTTGGTTATAGATTAAAGTCTTGTTTTTCTCTTCACCTGTGTTATTGATGATCAATAAGCTGGTACGAGGGTCTTCAGGGGGTTGTCCAGGAGAGAGGAAATACAGTTCAGGTTTAAATTCCCAATCACTCTTTTGATATAATACAGCATAAAGTATCTTTTCCACAACCAGAGGGAACACTGCAATTCCAAACACTAAGAGCCTACCAATAAAAAAACAAACAAACATGTATTTGTAGCAATTTCATTTGCTGTCAGACATTTCACAAATATTTCACAAATATTTGGTGGGTACTATGCCACCCATGATTATGGGCACTAAAATTTTGAAAGTCAGACCTTAGCACATCACAGAGAACTAAAAGGTGTTGCTATATAAACACCAGGCTATCAAACCATAAAAACCAAACAGACCTATGTATGAGGCCGATCAAGTGCTGCTATACAGGCATTTCTACGACTGTCAGTAAAATGAAATGTTGTATTTATCTGTTTTCTGGCAGGAATGTTGGGTACCATGCTCTAGTTTTAAATTCTCTTCTGGTTCAACCCTCTCTTGAAACTCACTAACAAAATCGCGGTACACTGATACTCACAAGGTCAAAAGCTCTTTCTTTCCACGTTTTAACTTTAAGAAACGGAGCCGTGCTATTGCACAGATCTGCATTTTCCAGAGGCCAAAGTCACTCACAGCCTTCTGCATTTCAGGGAGAGAAGACCAAGCTGGCTCTGTGTCATGTAGGCTTTCTGTGTCTCTTATCATCTCTGCTTGTTCAAAATCTACACACACATACACACACACACACACACACACACACACACACACAAACACATTATTAATGCCATCCTTGAGCATCACAGTTTTCTTTTTTTAGTAACAATTAAAAATTGTTTTACCATAGCTACAAAGGAAACAATGTAAGACACAAATTATATTTATGATATCCACATTCAATAAACTCAGTGATAAAATATAACTAAATTCATACCCAAAAAAGCATTCAGTAAAGGGTGATCTCATTTGATAAGGCATAGAAGATTCCATATTGTAACAATATTCTGAGGGATTTCAAGAAATATTCTCCATAGAAAAAGCCAATCATTGATGCCTACATGTTGGCTCTTAGGCTGTTAATAATTCTGAAATGCAGGTGAAAGATTACGAGCTCTGAAACCACCAGACCTGTACCTGATTCTCAAACACATGATAAGTGCCATTATTTGGGACCAATCACGTAAGAGCTCTTAGGTCTAGCTTTCTCCTATGTAAAATGGTGCCAATGGCATTTTTTTTTTTTTTGGAAAGGTTATTGTAGAAAGGTAATGACTAAATCCACATATTGATCCAATTTTCTGGCATAGCCTCTCCATAAATGACTGCTCTGATTATATCGCCCATTAAAATACATAGGAGATGATCCTAGCTTTTTCCCCATTAAGACCTTAGAGGAATTCTGTACATGAACAAGCTAAGAACAATTTTTGTGAGACATCTGCTCAGCCTTCATGACCTTGGTTGAGACACTTTCACATCCTTGAAATATCCAAGGAGCAGTGGGCGTCTGGGGAATAGGGGAAAACCACTGATACAGGAAGTAAGTCATCTGCAAAGGGAAATTTGGTACATTCCAAGAAAGGATCTGTGTTCAGTCCTAGTAATCATGTTGAAAAACAATGACAGCCTTTCCCAAACGGCAGAGTCAAATTTGGAATTATTCACATTCTTTAGTGTAGATCATGCATAAGACATTATAAAATACTAAATTCATACATGATTGTTTGGAAACTGATTTTCTGTTATTTATACAATGAATTTACCTTGTTCGATAGCTGATCTTCCTTCTAATTTCATGAAGACATCACTCAGAGTTGATGTGGAAATGTCATAACTGATCACAGCCTGGCCAGAACATTTCTCAAGACCACTGAAAAGGTCTAAGACAACAGATGGGAATAGATACATTTTAAATATCATACTGATAACAAAACCCAGTAAACTAATGCTTATTTAGGAGATGGTCCAGAATTTTGTTCAGAGAATATATGTCTTTGACTATCACAGTAAGCAAAAGCAACATTTTATTAGAATGCTCTTCCTCTCTGAAATGAATGTGTCAGAACTTTCCCCTCTACCCTCAAACCATCTGTACTCTACCTTCTATTCTCAGCTCATGACCTTGCAGAACACTTCTTTGAAGAAATATGAGCAATCAGAAAGAATATCATCTTCTCACCTCTACATCACAAATCAATGTGCATTTCTACCCGTATTCTGTGTCTTCGTTCTGTACGGGTGGAAGACTTATGGCTGTTCCCACCAAAGGCTACCTCTCTGACTTGTGTTCCAAATTCCATCCCATTTGGGCATCTTGAAGACTTCCTAAAGTAATCCCCTCCCCTTCTCTGGCCTGTATCATCAATTTATCCCACATCTACTAGGCCATCTCAAGCAGCAGGCAAAATGCTGTAAGGTCATCCATTAAAAAAAGACAAGTAACAACGACAACAACAACAAAAAAACCCTAACCTTCTCCTTCCCACCCCCCATCCCCACCACACACATGTATCCATGGCTGAAAGATCTGTCTACTCTACCACCTTCAATTTGTCACACCCTATTGAACTGAACTCCTCAAATCCAAATGCTATCCCTATTCTTCCACAGAAGCTATTCTTTCCAAGGCCATCAGTGATTCCACATTTTAATTTTTTTTTAATGTTTATTCATTTTTGAGAGACAGAGACAGAGCATGAGCTGAGGAGGAGCAGAGAGAGAGCGAGACACAGAATCCGAAGCAGGCTCCAGGCTCTGAGCTGTCAGCACAGAGCCCGACGCGGGGCTGGAACCCACGAACCATGAGATCATGACCTGAGTTGAAGTCAGACGCTTAACCGACTGAGCCACCCAGGCGCCCCAGTGATTCCACATTTTAAAGTCAATGGACAAAGACTTTATTAAACCATTCTTTTAACTCTCTCTGCCCCATCTCTGTCTCTGTCTCTCTCTCTCAGTGACATTCAAAGCTGTTGACTACTTCCTCTTTCTACAAACATTGTTTCCCTTGAGTTAATAAAAATGTACATATTCTTTTGTTTTTCCTTCAAGTTCATGGGTGGGCTCTTGATTTCCACCATTCTCTCGCTCTTCTTCTACTTTGTCCTGAGGGCTCAGTTCTAGATCACCTTCTCTTTCCATACACTCAAATCCAATCCCTTTGCATTAAATCCATCTGTATGCTAATGACTCCCAGTTCAATTCTCACTTTGAGTGCTCTCTGATGTCCAATGTCCCATAATCAAATGGATACTTGGCTACTTGACATCTCCACTTTGAAGTCTAAAAGGATCTCAAAGCAAACATCTAAAATCGAACATCAATTCCTCCTTCTCCATTCTATCCAACTATTTCTCTTATCATTTTACAATAAATGACACCACCTCCCACCTGGTGATTCAGGCCAAAATTCTAGAAATCTCGTTGGATTTTTCACTTTTCCACATGCTCCACTGACTGGCCATCATCCAGATTCTTTGGCTTTATCTCAAAATATGTTTCAGAGGTGCCTGACTCTTGATCTTGGCTCAGGTCATGATCTCGAAGTTCCTGAGTTCAAGTGCTAATATACTGTGCAAAGCCTGTTTGGGATCCTTCCTCTCGCTCTCTCTCTGCACTTCCCCTGCTCTCCTGCTTTCTCTCTCTCTCTCTCTCAAAATAAATAAGTAAATAAATTTATATAATATATGGGTTTCAAAGCCACCCACTTTTATCCATCATTCAACCAGTATCATGGTAGCCCAACGATCATCATCTTTCACGTGTCACATGGCTGGTCTCCCAGTGTCTCTCCTTCCTCTATATTCAGAGTACTCTTTTATAGCCAAAGAATGAAAATATACATCATATCACATCCATCCTCCATTTAATGACTTCCAGTGGCTTATCAGTGCATTTAAAATAAAATTCAAACACCACATGACAACCTTTAAACCTCTATATGAGCGAGCCTGTATCTATCCCTACAGCATTTCCCATCCCCATTGGTCAGTCTCTTCTTGTACTCACTGCACCCCAGATATCCCTTTCTCTCCTCTGCTTGGAATGCTTTTGATCATTTTCTTTTTTGGGACTTCTGACACTCCATATAAACCCCACCCTGATGTTCATTATCTCTCTAACCCATACAGCCTTGTTTATTATTGTATCATAAAATTGTAACATAGCTGGGCTTATTGTGCGTGTCTACTTCTCCCCATCCGATAGAATATAGGCTCCAAGAGGGTAGGGACTCCTATGTCTTATTTAATTCTGTATCCCTAGTACCTCAAGAAGCGTCTTTTATTTAGGAGGTTCCCAACAAATATGTATTATTTATCTCTTCCATATTTTGTATAGGACATAAGTATGCCATTGGACTTGCAGAGGCCTCGGACTCTGGTGTGACATGTTCTCATGGTAGTATCAGCATATAACTCACTCTTCTTCCCCAGCCAAAAAAGAAGGTAGGTTAGTTGCATCTCACTGGACATCAGTCCCAGAACAGAGTAACATACTATAGCCAATGGACTTGAGAACACCCTTCCAGCTCCTACAAGGACACAGAGAGCTGCCTTATTTGGGGGTGAGACTACATCTGAATTCCTGAATCTTTGCTTAATAAGATCGAATCATCCAAAGAGTTTGTTTAAATCAGGCCTGCAGAGAGTTAAACCTTTAATAAACTATTTCAACAAAAGGGAAGCTATTTAAATAAAAAGAGAACTGAGATAATCTCCTCATTGTTAAGATAGGGAAGTCTCTAGCATGTACCTCATAGAATAGTTGTGAGGACTAAATAGTCTATACATATAAAATTAGGACAGTGCCTGACCCGTAGTAAACATTGTACAAAAAGTGGGCGATTGTTAGAACTGCTTATTGAACAAACCCTAGGTTGGAACTGCTACCTGACAGACTGAACCCATGGTGAATACTTTTGTAGAATAAATTTCTGCATAATAAATCTATAGACAATTAAATTAAAATTCAAAAGGGAACCTATCACAGACACCTTGATGCCTCACCCCCCATCTCTTCTGTACTCACCTATAAATCCGCTTACTAACATCTGTCTGATGACATTTTTTTCTGGGCTCTGAAGTATGCTGAGCTTATGTGGAGCACAAGTCATATGGGTTAGAAATTTAACAATGCTGGAAGCATCCCTTAACTGATGGAGGATAGAGAGCGGTGAATAAATACCCTAGCCTCGTCACCCCTCAGGTGACACACCTCTGAGCCCCTTCCTCATCTATTCATTTAATTATTCCAGTGATATTGTATCTCAAGTTCTTATTGCAAACACCTGCTCAATAATGCAGACTTCCCTGGTTTCCTTCGTTTCCTTCTCTCATGCCCCATTCCCCACTGCTGTTTCTAGGCATCAATTACCAAACATATTGCACTAAATTCTTAATCTCGAGAACCCAACCTAAAACCAAATCTAAATCCATTATATAATGAAAACTAATAATGAGGTGACTTGGAATTGGAAACTTGATCCCAAATTTCCTTTTTAAAAATGTTTTTAATGTTTATTTATTTTTGAGAGAGAGAGAGCATGAGCAGGGGAGGGGCAGAGAGAGGGAGACACAGAATCTGAAGCAGGCTCTAGGCTCTGAGCTGTCAGCACAGAGCCCCACGCGGGGCTTGAACTCACAAATCGCGAGATCATGACCTGAGTCGAAGTCGGATGATCAACCGACTGAGCCACCCAGGCGCCCCTTATTCCCAAATTTCATTCCATCGTAATCATACTTAAGTTACCTGGAAATTTATTTGTCCTTTCCACAGGCAAGGTATACACAAGCTTTTCTTTGTTTTCTGTTTTTAATTTAGCATCAGGGATGTAATGATTAATGAAGGATGTTATTTTTTCTGGATCACATATTTCATTTCTGTACAAACTAATATTTAAAAGAAAAGATCATTGATTTGTATTTTCTCTACTGCTATCACAAAAGAAGAGCTTTTATTGAATACCTAGCCTTTGAGTACTGCTTTACTTGGCTTTAGGGAACAAACAAAATGAGTAAATAATAATAACAGCAACAACAGAAGTAATAATAATATCATCAGTTTGAAAATTCAAAACAACTACAAATATACAAATACATGCTGTAATTGAAACTGTATTTCAAGTAGGAAGATAAGCAGAGCAAGGTGAGAACATTAGGCAGAAGGAATTGCTTAGGGAAAATAACTACTACACCCAACTGTGTAGATATCAGGAATTAGTGATGAATAGAGTTTGGCCTACATGTGTGTTTTGTTTGGTCATAGGGTTTTTAGGTTTGGGTTTTTAAAAATTCTTTTTAATCAGGGCACATTTTCTTGTTAGACACAGTGCTCTTCCTCTCTGCCACCGATTTATTCCCACTTTTGATACTGTAGCAGGATTCTCGCACAGAGAGTCGTGACACCGAGGCTTTTCTTTCCAGGAAGCAAATTTATTCATGCTGGCACCGCTCAGTTAGGTTTGTACCCACAGAAATGAGTGGCCCACATCACATAGCAGAGTTTTAAAATACATTTTCTATTTCTTTGTCTCCCACATATGGTAACACACATAAACATGCAGTCTGATTAAGGTGTCTCAGTTTACAAGGTCATAGGGGATGTAGGCACCTAGGTTCATATCTAGGTGACCTTGAAGTCTTCTCTTTTTTCTCTCTCCTTAGGGAGGCGTCCCTACCACAATACTAGCTTCTGAAACTATTTCATTTTTGCCCATTGAAAGAATGAAAATATGTTATAGGATTGTATGAATCAGCCAGGAAAAGTAGAGGGTGGGAAAAAGAGAGAGGTTGAGGATGCCTTTAGGATGCCCAGGGCAGCTACCTGGAAAGTGGTCCAGCCCCGCTGAGATCTGTCAGCCTGGGCTTATCTCCCTGAAATGTTGCATATCATTAGCATTAATAGAGGTACAAGGAGGCAGGAAAAACATGGAAAGCACACATCACTAGGTTGGCAGATATGAAGCACAAGGCCAGATGACCCCCATAATGGTCTGCTTTTTTGATATACCAGCATTAAAAACATAGATATGTTTATATCCAATGTACCCTTAAAGTCTTTACCTTAAGTGATATCCAAGACCCCATTTTCTCTTCAAAAAGACAGAAGACCCTGCACACTTCAGTCTCCCATTGGACATGATCACTTTTCTATCTGATTAAAAAGAAGCAAGAAAGAAAGGATGATGGGAGTAATTTCTTCCCTCACTAGAAAATACAGGTGAGGAGCCAAAGCTCAGATTTCCAAAGGAAAACCGTTCCACAGGAAATACATATATTGAATGTGCATTTAAAAATTCAAAATACACATTAAATTGATGCATTTAAAAATGAGATTAAGAATTCCAGCCTATTTCTGTGCTCTCCAATAATTCTTGAAAAAAAATTCCCAGAAATTACACTGAGCCATTTTCTATTCTGGATGCTAGACAATAAGTGGATAGTTTTTAACCACATATATATTGATTTCCATATTTAGATTAATTGAAAGCTAAAAAAAATCCATTTTTTTTAAAAATTAGGGGTCATAATCTAGCAAATGTAGTTGGTGTGGAGTTCTATAGGGTATTAGATGATGGGGTATTAGACTATGGGGTATTAGACTATAGGGTCCTAGACTATAGGGTATTAGACTATGGGGTATTAGACTATGGGGTATTAGACTATGGGGTATTAGATTATGGAGTATTAAACTATAGGCTATTAGATGATGGGGTATTAGACTACAGAGTATTAGACTATAGTGTATTAGACTATAGGATTATTAGACTATGAGGTATTAGACTATAGGGGTATTAGACTCCTCAGACTGCTATGGCATGGAAGGTGCACCGAGGTCATAAAAGCACAACCCTTGCCCCAGAAATACACATTTTCCAAATTCTTGATGGTAATACTGAGATAACAGCAACAATTACCAGCGAGGAGGTCAGCCTCATCCATGAGATTGGTACTCAAGAGGATCACACGGCCTGCTTTGTGTTCCTTGAGGAAGCTCCACACTCGATGCCTTGAAAAGGGATCCAACCCAGCAGTTGGTTCATCTAATAGCAAAATCTACAGAAGAGGATAACATATAAAATCTCTCTCCCACACACATTAACTATTTCCACTTGGCAGCATGGAGAACAGTCAAAACCAAATAATACTCTCTAGGGTTTATGTTCCAGTACACTTGTAATCATAGTTTACCAGAGATTCTCTCTTGATACATTACAATGGCATCTCTACTACTTTTAGGGATAAAAGAAGAGCTTGACTTTTTACTAATATTCAATCTGAATTCCACCGCACACGTCATCTCACTTACTTGAGGATCTCCTAAAATGGCAATCCCAAAGGTCAGCTTTCTTTTCTGTCCTTTACTTAAATGTTCAGCAAGGTTATCCTGAATGTTCTGTATGTCCAGTTCTAATAAAATCCTTTGTACCTATGCAAGAAAGCACACAAAACTTAGAATCCAAGATGATGCATACTATACCATTTTAACTGCCCATGACGGTAGTAGATATATATATGTTTTTTAATAGGCCCTCTTTGCCTAAATTTTATTCCTGATAGGGTAGGTAAATCCCTGAGGGGAATTCTGTGGTCCTGATTAAACTTGGCAAATTTAACTCGGTAATCAGGCTGATTTACCTCCTGCTCCACTTCCTGTGGCCGAATCCCTTTTATTTTAGCAAACAGCCTGAGGTTTTCCTTCACGGTGAGTATGTCAAAGTGAACATTGCATTGAGGACACACGCCAGTTATCTTTCTGATTTCCTCCAAGTCTTGCATTTCAGAGAGATTTTTATTATAGATGGTAACTGATCCTAAACATAGAAGGTAAAAATAATTTAACATTGGGAAGATAATGTGTTTTATTAAGGCTTAAGATCTTCTACAGGAAAACACTGGCATATGTTCACAGATGTCTAAAATAATAACTTTGTAATTTATTAATACCCACTGATTCATCTTAACATAAATGTATGTCCAGGGTGGTATATATTTTCCCTGGAATATCGCATAGCAATGGAATAAGGATAATGATTTTCATAAAAATTTGGGAAATATAAAATATATGCACACTCAGTCTGGTAAACAATGTTAGATAAGCAAGCATTATTTTCTCTTACATAGCTAAATGTAAACTTAAAATAAGAAAGGCAACATATGACCTCATTCTATCACTGGACATCTTGCCTTTGAGAAATTTCTTTTTGCTCACCTTCTGTTGGAGCAGATGACCCATTAAGGATGTTTAGCAAGGAAGATTTGCCAGCTCCACTATGACCCAGAATTGCTGTGATTTGCCCTTCATATATGTCAAAGAGTAAGTCTGTTTTTAGAATAAAATATTCACATTATAAATAAGAGGGCATTAGAAAGGGTTGGTTCTAAACATAGAATGGAAAATTTATTTTAGTTGTATATTCTCAACTCTTTCAATAGGTTATCCAATATTCTCCTGGCCGCTAAAATAATAGGCTTACTGTAGAATATTTGTGAAATAAATACAACCACTTAAGAAGATCAAATTAATTACAATTTCAAGTATTGATTAGAATACAATTACTTCCATTGTATATGCGTGTAAGTATGTGAACACATAAATATATCTGTACAGATTCTGACCATATTCTATATTCTTTTCTAGCCTACATTTTCAAATATTAAATGATAAACATTCCTCATGACCCCGATGACCTTTTAAAATATATCAACCAAACATTTTATTTTCCTGTTATAAATTTTCTATTCTTTTATTACAAACCTTTTGCATTTACAGGCCAAAAAAAAAAAAAAACATTTACATTGTTATTTTTTGTTTGTTTTCTTTATACCAAGTGAAAACCAGACTCAGTTATGGAAAGTCGTTGGACGAAATTCTTAAGAATTTTATAATACATTATGTCTAAAAGATCAGGTTCCTTCAATTAAATTATGTGACCTACTTCCAACCATTATTGAGATTAATTAGTAACTGGGATGAATTCCAGTTCATCCATTTTCTATCTGGATGACCTTGAATAAACTAAACGCTATGAGGTTCACTTTACTTAGCTATTAAATGTGCTGATAATAATAATTACATGTAAAGAGAAAATTCTTCCTATTGTAATCCAATCCATTAAAACCCTCACTTATAATTTGCTTAAAAGATTCTAAAAATCATTGGAAAAATAAGCTCAAGTAATTAAGAAAGTTAAAGAATAGTATTATTAGAAAATTTAAAAAATTAAAGAAATTAGTCTTGGCCACATGCTATTAAAATTATTATTAATTAAAATAATATGTTAGTATTGGAAAACTATAATAATTAAAGTAATATGTTAGTAACATAGTAACAGCAGTGGGATAAATACAATTAAAATAATATGTTACTGCTTTAGGATACACTGACTATGGAATGTAAAAGAAATCTAAGATGGACCAAAGTAAACATAAAAAATAAAGATTAATGAAATAAGCTTTTAAATTTATCAAAAAGATGAATTAACTAATAAAAAATATTGGGAGAACTAAACAAGTACATTAGCAAGTTTTACATTGGGGCGCCTGGGTGGCTCAGTCAGTTAAGCAGCAGACTTTGGCTCAGGTCATGATCTCATGGTTCGAGACCCACCCACATGATAGAGCTGTGCTGACAGCTCAGTGCCTGGAGCCTGCTTTAGATTCTGTCTCCCTCTCTCTCTGCCCTTCCCTCACCTGCTCTCTCTCTCTCTCTCTCCCTCTCTCTCTCTCAAAAATAAACAGTTAAAAAATATTTTAAAAAAACAAGTTTACATTTACTGTTTTAAAAAATAGTGCTTTCAAAAGTAAGAGAAGGCTGATGATATCTATTCTGGAACTGACCCATATTAACTGGAAAAAAAGAAATACAAGCCTCAGTTACCTCATCTACAAAATGGAAGAGATATTAAGTATCTCCTAGGATTAAATGAAAAACAGTCTGTGTAACTCACTTATCATAGTTTCCGGCACACACTAAGTACTCAATAAACTTTAAGTGTTTGTTTCTATTATTACTGTTGTTGTTTTTAATTATTGCTTCTTCCCACAAGGGTATACATTTTTACAACCTTGGAGGGAAATAATTTGAAATATGAATAAAAAATCTTAAAAATATAGTCCCTTTGAGTTATCTGCTTTTAGAAATTTATCTTCTACAACTATATTCACAATGATTGAACAAGAAGCCTCATTATAGTGGGTTTTTTTAATGTTAATTTATTTATTTTTGAGAGAGAGAGAGAGAGAGAGAAAGAGGATCCAAAGCCACTCCATGCTGACAAGAGTTCAATGCAAGGCTCCGTGGAACTGAAATCAGGAACTGAGCTCCTGCCTGAGCCACCCAGGCACTCCCAGCATTTTTTTTTATGATAAGGAAAAAACTGGAAACAAGCCAAATTTCATTCACTAGTGTAAGTCAATGGAGGTGTCCACACAAGGGAATGCTATTTAGCCACTGAAAGATAGGCTGCAGGTAAGGATTTCAAAGCCTGTTCTCAAAGGTGTTCCAAGGTTCCTATAGGAAGTAGCTGCATGGGGAGAAGCTGAGAGCCTGAGGTTCCCTCTTACTCCTAAAGAGCAGCTGGAACTGTCACTTTCATATAGTTTTTCGATGCAGTGATTTTCATCACTTTTAATTTTTAAATTTTTTTGAAGATGTTTGGATGTCAAAAGTAGTTCATGGTTATTGATGAGTACAAAAGTAGTTCATAATGTACTCTGGAAATTGAAATGACAAATTTAAAAAACACTTCACTATATCCTTGGCTAAAATTAAAGAAAGAAACCACAGATCTAGATGGTATTGGATGGGAAAAACCTGGGGGGGGGTGGAGGGGAGGGGCGGAGAATAAATTTGCTGACATGGATACACAAAATTCTCGGAGTGAGAAATGATCTCAGAGGAATAAGTAACACTGAGAACACTATGTGCTAGAAAGAAAATGCGATCCTAACACACTGGGCGGAGAACTCTCAACTTTAAAGTTCCCTGGCTCTTCTTTTCTAGCTTTTCAGGTTTCCAGCTCTTGTAAAAATCAGTTACATTCTTCCTGAAAATCATTACTAATAAACACAAGCTGTTCTCTATAAAATGGAGCTGCTAACTTGGATGCTTACTTAAATATTTGTTATAGAAAATGATTTGTCAGAATTTAGTATCAGATACATCGGTTCATTCAAACTTATAATGGTGTTTGCCATGGAGATAGTGACTTGTGAAGCTTTGTTCACGGTCAGTGGGGTTACTCCTTTATTTTTTATTATTTATTTTACTTATTGAAACAAGTTAGTTAACATAAAGTGTGGATTTGGTTTCAGGACTAGATCCCATTGGTTCATTTCTTACTTGTGACACCCAGTATTCATCCCCCTTCATGCCCATCACACTTATAACCCATCCCTCCACTCACCTCCTCTCCAGCAACCCTCAGTTTGCACTCACCTTGTTTTAGTTACTCTCACCAGTACATAGAAACTATATAAATTCCCTGGGCTAGTACAAAAAAATTATCAATTTTAAGTCTAGATGGTCTTTCCTCGCAGTGCAGATAAAATGCAACGTTGTTTTTAGCAAACTCATCTTTGAAAACAAAATGAAATCATACCTTTCATTGCATGACCCCGTTCCTGTACAGCAGTGAATCTAAAAAACACCTAGAAGGATTTTATGGCCAGTTCTCAATTATAGTTAACCTCCAAGTGGTGAAGTTAGATTGTTTGTATTCGGTTTTCTTTTTCTGTTTTGCTCACGTGTATTTGCTAATTTTTCACATGGAATTCTCCCCATTTTTTTTTGCAATAAAAAGTCAATGAAACACTGAAATGTTTCTCTTTACCTTTCAATGCTTCTGTTTTTCCAGACTTTCCTGTATATTCTTTCTTAACATTTTTGATTCTGCAATGACAGAAGTGGTGTTTACTCAGTCAACACAGCAGTGAAAGCAGCAGAGGTCAGGGACAATCCCACTCACAGTGACAGATACACCAACCACCTTATGGGACATAAGGGATGATATAACCAGTCTGCTCAGAAAGACAAAAACTTGTTTTTGATTAAACATTTTCCCCAAGGGAGAAAATAAAAGTCCCTTTAGAAAGTTATAATTAAATTATTAGTGTTTTGCTTAGAGAAGCAGAACACTTTGGAATTGTTTCTTACCTTCTTCCTCTGGTCTTAGAATATTTGATGTTTTCTACTCTGCACACAGTCAGCTCATTAATCTGCACCTTTTAACTCTCCCCTATCACCCCGTCCCATGTCCTCCAAGCCCCTCCCTTCCCCTTCAGCCTTGTTCATTAATCAGACCCTCTGTCACCTCCATTTTCTATAGTTTCCTCTCCAATAGATTCTCTTTGGCCTGTAACTCTGCTTTGGATACAATCAGATTTCTCTCCTCCTCTTATTTAAAAAAATGTTGGGGGCGCCTGGGTGGCTCAGTTGGTTAAGTGCCTGACTTTGGCTCAGGTCATAATCTCCCGGTTGGTGAGTTCGAGCCCCTTCAAGCCCCAAATTGGGCTCTGTGCTGACTGCTCAGAGCCTGGAGCCTGTTTCAGATTATGTTGTCTCCCTCTCTGCCCCTCCCCCACTCATGCCCTCTCTCTCTCTACCTCTCTCTTTCTCAAAAATAAACGTGAAAAAATTAAAAAAAAATTTTTTTTCAAAACAAGAGTATAATCTCACCATGTCAATTTTCTCACTTCCTTCTCAATCATTCTGAATCCACTATTCTAGTGAACCTCTTCATACTGAAATCATTAGTGGCCTCTTACTTGTTAAATGCAGTAAAGACTTCTCTTTCTTTACTTGTTGGATTATGGGTCAATATTGGTGTCGGTGTCTTGGTTGAAAGTGTCTACATTCAAGGTAACATTGGACTTACTGGCTTTCTTCCTATTTTCCTAAGTGTTCCTTCTCTGTTTCTTTGTAAGGTCCTCTTCTTTTGCCAGACACATCATCTTGGTGTTCCACAAAGTTCTCCATGTACATGATGGTCTTCTCATTCTACACTCTCTTGATGGATTATCCCATTGATTCTCATGGCTTCAACACCAACCTAATGCTGACCCTATCCTTTTCCACGAGTGCCAGATGTGCTTTTCTCACATCTAAAGGTTTCATTTGAATATCACCCCCCTCCCCCAACACACACATCTCTAAATGGGTGATGACTGGAGTGCCTGGGTGGCTCAGTCTGTTAAGTGTCTGACTTTGGCTCTGGTCATGCATGATCTTGCAGTTTGTGAGTTTGAGCCCCATATCAGGCTCTGTACTGACAGCTCAGAGCCTGGAGCCTGCTTCAGATTCCGTGTCTCCCTCTCTCTCTGCCCCTCCCATGCTCATGCTCTGTCTCGCTCTCTCAATAATAATTAAATGTTGAAAAATATTTAATAAATAAATAAATAAATAAATAAATAAATAAATAAGTGAGTGATTACCAAACTTGAATGAACATTAGAATCTCAAAAGGAACTAATGCAGGAAGAGGCAGGAACCAGGCTCCGACAAATTAGAAATGTCATGAACTACATAAGATCATGTACAGTGTACCATGAAATTCAAAGGAAACAGAATTTAGGCAATCTCTTTTCTGAGCATGGATCAAAATTAAAGTAAGGACATTTATTCAACCAGGATGCTGGCAGTGGGTGGGGTTACATCAAAGAGTCAGGAAATATAAAAGAGAAAGACTTAAGAGGTGCTGAATCCGACATGGGATTTTATCTCTGCCTTTCTTTGCACAGTGGGACACCCACTGAAGTGGGGTTTTAATGTTTTTTTTAAAATTCCGTTTTTAGGGGCGCCTGGGTGGCTCAGTCAGTTGAGCGTCCGACTTTGGCTCAGGTCATGATCTCGCGGTTCGTGGGTTCGAGCCCCGCGTCGGGCTCTGCGCTGACTGCCCACTCAGAGCCTGGAGCCTGTTTCCGATTTTGTGTCTCCCTCTCTCTCTGACCCTCCCCTGCTCACGCTGTCTCTCTCTCCTAGAAATAAATAAAACATTAAAAAAAAAAGAGAGAGAGAGATAAGGAGGGAGACAAGATGGCGGGTGATGTGGTAACATTATACAGAGCAAAGCAAAGAGACTTTTCCTTTCAAGGAGCAATCAAGAGCCATTGGAGGTCACATGGAAGAATTCAAAATGACATTCACAAAGACAAATTTCTTCTACAACATTTTGCTCAGGTTCATCCTGTTGCTGTTGGTCAATAATTCATTTGTCTTGCACCCACGCACATGTTGGTTTAAGTGTGATTACCTGATAGCTTCTTTTCCTTGGAATTCTGGAGCTACTGGTTCGAAACAATCATTGGAAGGATGCTCAGGATCTATTTGTTTCTCAATGACCTTATTATTAGTCCTTTGGTGTTGGAAACAAGATGAGTTCAGGAAAAATAATGGAGAATAATGGCACTCATTTCCACCTAATTAATCAAGAGGCAGTACAATATTGGATCATTAACATTAGTAAGAATCAAGAGTAAAGAAGCCTTATTCAAAATAGCACAGCATGTCTTAGACTTAAGCATCATAGAGAAATGGTTTTCTTTCTAACTTCCTTTTATTGAAAAGAAAACTGGTCATGATGTAGACAATGAAAATTCAAAGGAAATAAGACATTATTACAAAAGCCAAACAATACCATAGAACTTTCAATAAAATATATATATAAACCAAAGGCTTGAATAAAATGTGGTCTAAAAGGTATTTAGAATGAATAAAACCAAATATTAGGGGGGAAGGCCTTAATATGGCACTTAAAAATAACTGGAAACATGTTTATGAACTTAAAGAAATCCCTTGATCACAATAATATGACTGGACATAGTACTGAAGTCCCTATGGAGTGTGTATGTAAAGTATGGGAAGAAATTATATTTGTTCAGGATAAATACAGTCATTTTCCAAATGTAAAACATGGAAGTAGTATTTGTTGCTAAGGGCCTCCAGATATTAAACCAGAAGTGACAGAAAGATAAGAATATATAAAATAATTTCATAAAATATAGAAGACAGTGTTAAATACAAAGTGGAAAGAACATAAAAAGTAAGGTAAGTAAACAAGATTGTGCATGAAAAAGGCATCCTGATTCTAGCATGTGGGAAAGAGTTCTGCACTTGTGAAATTTTTGGTTGTTGGTAAAATAGAGAAAATTTAACTGGGTAATATAGTTCTGTAAATATGAACGACATATGAAAACATTTCAGAATAAGGCTGAAAATGTCCTCTCTCATTTTTGTCTTGTTGTTTCCTTAAAGGATGGACATGTCGCCTTTTGAAATGATCCTCCCAGAAGGAGAGGGAGTAGGGGAGAACCTGGTTATTCCAGATCTGGGGCTCTTTCTAGCTGTTCAGTTCACAATCTGCCCCACATTCTTGTAAGAACTACTTATTAAACACTTCCACCATACAATAGATCTACACTAGCCAAAGCCATGTTAAGAACTAATATATTTCAGCTCATTCTGAAACAAATCTTATATATTATTCTTTGAAAATACTTTCAGGGATTCTTGAAAACAGTAACATTATTTAATCACTGCATATTCATAATGTATATTATTAAAACCAGAAGAATAATTGTTTTTCCATGAAAATTCCTTCAAATTGTTAAAACTATGAAGTAGGAATAAAAAACTCATTCATTCACCTTGTTATAGGAAATATTTGTTATTCTTTACTTCTTTTATTAACATTTTTTTAATGTTTGTTTATTTTTGAGACAGAGAGAGAGACAGAGTGTGAGCAGGGGAGGGACAGAGAGAGAGGGAGACAAAGAATCTGAAGCAGGCTCCAGGCTCTGTGCTGACAGCTCAGAGCCTGATGTGAGGCTCAAACTGAATGGCGAGATTATGACCTGAGCCAAAGTCGGACACTTAACAGACTGAGCCACCCAGATGCCCCTTATTCTTTACTTCTTAAAGTACATTTATATAACCTTAAGTTAAAATCAATGTGATCAACATATGCAGAGGTCAGAGAAATGCCACTTTTACTTACAGGGTAAGATTTTGTCAAAATATAATGCCAGTGCCAGGTAGAAAAGCGCATCAAAAGCCAATACAGAAAAAGTTGCAACCATTATATAGGAGTCTCCTGAAGGGTCGGGAAAAATTACATCATTCATAGTACTATCCAAGTGGATGATCTAAGATTCAAGCAAAAATAGTAATTAATAAGTATTTAAATTAAATACATAAAAATAATCCAGAGCAGCAGCAAGATTTGTCATTTTATTAAATAGCTTTTCCAAGAAACCCCTATAATGAAGTTATTGGTGAAACTATTTCTATTTGGCAACAATCAAAGGAACATTGGGAGGAAATACTGATTTTAAAAAATATGTTCTAAGAATTTTCTTGTTTTCATAAAGTCACTACAATATTGCAAAATATCTATTCTATGAAGCAAAAAAAATACAAATGTTTGAAAGAACATGAAGAATTATTTGAAGCATCTTAGTAGGATAATGATAAGAGAACATTTTTTTCTAGTTATTCTGCTAATAAAGATATGTTTATAATTTTGTCATGTGACAATAGGTATAATGTTCTAGGTGTTGTTTTAAGACCTTTTTATAATATCTCATTAAATCCTTATCATAATCCCATAAGGCAGGTCTTATTATTTTTTAAAAATATTTATTTATTAGCTAAAACATGGAAAGAGCCTAAGTGTCCATCAACAGATGAATGGATCAAGAAGATGTGGTTTATCTATACCATGGAATACTACATGGCAATGAGAAACAATGAAATCTGGCCATGTGTAGCAACATGGATGGACCTTGAGGGTGTTATGCTGAGCGAAATAAGTCAGGCAGAGAAGGACAAATACCATATGTTTGCACGTATAGGAGGATTAGGAGGAACTTGACGGAGGACCAAGGGGGAGAAGAAGGGCGGAAATGGTGGGGGAAAGGGAGAGAGGCAAACCATGAGAGACTCTTGAATGCTGACAAAAACTGAGGACTGATGGATGTGGGGGAGAGGGGGGATGGGCATGAAGGAGGGCACTTTGGGGATGAGCACTGAGTGTTATGTAGAAACTAATTTGACAATAAACTATTTGTAAAAAAAAAAAAAAAAAAAAAAAAAAGATAGCATTTTAAACCAGTGGAGAAAAGGTACAATATTCAATAACTATTTTCAGATCAGGGGCTCACCCTTGAACCAAATAAAGCTGGTATATTAACTGCAGTCTTCCTATTAAAGTGAACTAATTCCTAATCATTCCTAATGAGTAAATGAATTAAAGGTTAAAAAAATAAAAAAAAAATGTGTACTTTGGCTGTTTCTTTTAACAAAATGATACAAGCTAAAATATATGTTTAAATATATTGTTATTTAACCTCAATAAAAGGAATTTAAAGATAGAAAAAAAATATTTATTTATTTATTTATTTATTTATTTAGAGAGACAGAGAGAGTGAGGAAGGAGCACAGAGGGAGGGAGAGAGCCCCAAGCAATTTCTGTGTTCTCAAAGCAGAGCCTGATGGCAGAGCTCAAACTCCCACACCATGAGATCATGACCTGAGCTGAAATCAAGAGTCAGATGCTCAACTGACTGAGCCACCCAGGTGCCGATAGGCTGTATTATTTCTATGTGCATTTTACATATGGTGAAATTGAAGCACAGAGAAATTGAGTAGCTTAACCAACCAAAGTCAAAATCACACAGTAAGAAGAGACTAAGCTGAACTCAACACAGGAAGTCCAGCTGGCAAGCCCAGTGCCTCACACTGGACAATACAAACTCCATTTTTGTAAAATGTTACCATTTCATGACAAAGGTGAGTTCCTTCCAGGAATGCAAGCTTGGGTTGACATTTGAAGATCACTCTATGTAATTCAACATAAAACAGATTGAAGGGGAAACTAAGGTGGTTAGTGAAGTAGATGCAGAAAAAGCACAGGATACAATTCAGTATCCACTTATAATAAAGAAAGTCTCTTCACAAACTAAGAAGATGAGTGATCTTCCTAAACCTGGCAAAACAATTGTACACAGACCAATACCAAAACTCATGCTTTTTATGAAATGTTGAAAGCTTTTCCTTTGCTTGCATTTATTTCTTTTAAAAAAAATTTTTTTAATGTTTTATTTATTTCTGAGAGAGAGAGAGAGAGAGGCAGTGTGAGTAGGGGAGGGTCAGAGAGAGAGGGAGATACAGAATCTGAAGGAGGATCCAGGTTCTGAGCTAGCTGTCAGCACAGAGCCTGATGCAGGGCTTGAACCCATGAGCCGTGAGATCATGACCTGAGCTGAAGTTGGACGCTTAACCTACTAAGCCACCCAGGTGCCCCTGCTTGCATTTATTTCTATTCAACATACTGGAGGTCCAGCCTCTGCAAAAAGGCAAGAAAAATAAGTAACTAGCATTAAAAAATGCAAAAGAAAAAATAAACATCATTGTTTGGAGACAATATGATTATACATAAGAAAAACCCAGGATTAAACCTAGAAAAACACTAGTTTTTAAAGTTTGTTTGTTTGTTGGCACACAGACAGAGAGAGAGCGAGCGAGCACGGGAGGGGCAGAGAGCAAGGGAGACAGAGAATCCCAAGTAGACTCTGTGCTGTCAGCATAGAGCCTGATGTAAGGCTTGAACTCATGAACCCATGAGATCATTACCTGAGCCAAAATCAAGAGTTGGATGCTTAACCAACTGAGTCACACAGGATCCTCTAGTTTTACTAAAAGAAGATAGCAAGGAAACGGGATACAGTGTTAATGTACAGAAATCAGTTGCATCTCTCTACATTTACGACAAACATTGAAAAATAAGAGTCTAAGTGCAGATGGTATTTATAATGACATCAAAAGTATTTTAAAAAGTATATAAAACTTTGGACTAAATAAAAAATATGTAAGTCTCTCAATAATTAACAATTACAAAGGAAAAATGAATGTGAAGATATATTATTCATGATCAAAAGAAAAGTGTCAGTTTCCCTGAAATGTTGGTTGAAAAATTCAACTGCATCCAAGTGTCAGTAGCTTTGTACACACACACGTATGTGTGTGTATCACTTGACAAGTTAATTCTAAAATGCACACCATTCAAAAAACCTAGAATAGAAAAGTCTCTCTTTGGAGAAGAAAATCAACTGTTACTACCATATATCAAGACACATAAAGCAAAAACAATTTTCTTTTTCTTTTTAATGATTCTTTTTTTTTTTAATGTTTATTTGTTTCTAGGAGACAGAGAGAGAGACAGCGTGAGCAGGGGAGGGTCAGGGAGAGAGGGAGTCACAGACTGAAACAGGCTCCAGGCTCTGAGCTGGCAGTCAGCACAGAGCCCGACGCGGGGCTCGAACCCACGAACCGTGAGATCATGACCTAAGTGAAAGTCGGACGCTTAACCAACTAAGCCACCCAGGCACCCCAAGCAAAAACAATTTTCAGATAATGTGGCAACAGTCAAGAATAGACCAGACGGGATCATACGTGATTGCTTGAGCTCTAACAAAGGAAATGCTGTAGTCTGTTTAGGGAAAGGATGGTCTTTTCAGTAAATGAAGTGGAAGAAATTGGACATTCATGTAAAAAAATTAATATTGCTTCTACATATAGATACCCAAAAGTTATTTTGAAATGGATTTTATATCCAAATGTAAAAAATAGAATCAATTGAGCTTCCAGAAAAGAACAAGGGAGACAATCTTTAAAAAATTTTTTTAAATTTATTCTTTTATTTTGAGAGATAAAGCACGTGTGCATGTGTGCACCTGTGATCTGGGCAGGGGCACAGAGAGGGGACAGAGAGAGAATCCCAAGTAGGCTCTGCACTGTCAGTGCAGAGCGAGATGCAGGGTTCGATCCCATGAACTGAGAGATCACGACCTGAGCCAAAATCAAGAGTCGGAGGCTTAACCGACTAAGCCATCCAGGTACCCCTGGGAGAATATCTTTATAACCTTGGGGAATGCACTGATTTCTTAAAGATACAAAAGCAGTCTACAGAAAATAAACTTGACAAACTGGACCTTACCAAAATTAAGAACCTTTGTTCATTAAAAGCATGACTGAGAGAGTAAAAATGTCAGCAACAAATGTCTCATATCTAGCATATATAAGAAATTCCTACGAAACAGTAAGGAAAAGATAAAAAGTCAGCTAAAAAAAGTGGGGGGGGGGATGCCCTGGATAGGCATTTTATGAAAGAGGAAACCCAAAATGCCACTAAGTATATGAAAAAGAATTAAATTTCATCAAAAGTCAGGAAAATGCAAATTAATATCCCAAGGATTATTATTTCAGATCCACAAGATTTCTAAAGTTTGGAAGACTAACGATACCAAATGCCAGGAAAGATTTGTAACAACTGTAAGTCTGAAACATTTGGTGCAAAAGTAAATTGATTCAACCACTTTGGAAAACTATTTGGCAGTAGGTATGAAGATTAAGACCCACTATTCAACTCTTCGATATACACCAAACAGAGCTGAATGCTTGTATTCACTAGGATATATGCATAAGGTTTTTTTTTTTTTTGCAGAATTAATAGCAGTCAAAAGCTAGAAAATATGTGTCCATCAATAAGAAAATCAATATCATATTCAGCATATCCACACAATGGAATATTACCTAATACCATAGTACAACTGCATACAAACTATGGATGAGATCTAAAAACATAACGGTGAGTGGGGGAGAAAGCAAGATTTTCAAACATGCACTTGGTAGAATATCACTTCTATAAAGTTGAAAACAGGCAACACTTAAATATTATGCTTAGGAACACACATTAGGTGATAATAAGAAGTGCAGATCACACAACTTTTATCTTTAAGAGAAAGGAGTGTGCGGAGGAGCTTTGGAGTTGTGGCATTCTTCTATTTCTTGATCTAGTTGATGAGTGTTTGGATATATTTAGTAACTATTTGCTAAGGTCTTTATTTATACTCTTGAAAACTTTTCAGATTTGAGGTTTCCAAAAGAGGTTTACACAATTAATAGAGAATGCCTTCATTATATAAAGTAAAAAAGAATATCATATGATCTCACCCATATGTGGAATTTAAGAAACAAAACAGATGAACATAGGGGAAGGGAAGGAAAAATAAGATAAAAACAGAGAGGGAGGCAAACCATAAGAGACTCTTAAATACAGAGAACAAACTAAAGGGTGCTAGAGGGGAAGTGGGGGGGGGGATGGGCTAAACGGACTATGGGCATTAAGGAGGGCACTTGTTGGGATGAGCATTGGGTGTCATCTGTAAGTGATAAATCACTGGGTTCTACTCCTGAAACCAATACTACACTCTATGTGAACTAACTTGAATTTAAATAAATAATGAAAAAAGAAAGGTAAATAGTTGCATATGAGAAACAAGAAAAAAATTCTTCAAAATGAAAATACATTTGAGAGGGGAAAATCTGTCTTATTCAAGATGTTCTTATTCAAACTTCCTTATGTGATGAAGATATCTCTACACTGTAATAATAACATTCTTAAATCCAGCTTTAGGCTGTAATTGTTTAGCAAAAACGTTCTTAATTTGAAAGAGTGTTTAGGGGCACCTGGGTGGCTCAGTAGGTTGGTAAGCATCTGACTTGGGCTCAGGTCATGATCTCACAGCCCGTGGGTTTGAACCCTACATTGGCCTCTGTGCTGACAGCTCTCTCTGCCCCTCCCTTGCTCATGCTCTTTGTCTGTTTCTCTCAAAAATAAATAAACATTAAAAAAAAAGAAAGAGGGTTTGCAACCATGAAGTTATGAAATATCAAGTTTTTTTGAAAGTTCAATAATGAAACAATTAACTAGGCTCCTACCTTACTCATTCCAGCACTGAAGGTAAATGGGCTGCAAATACTCAAAATCCACTCCAGAGATGACGGAAGCTGTCTGTAATAGGCAGCGAATCCCACGCCCCCCCAAAAGACAATGAGGAGAAACATAACCAAATTGGTGAGAACTGTTTTTTTTAGCAACACACTCATCAGGAATACTAAAGTTATCTGAAAGAGAAAGAGAAGACATCTAGCTATTAAACAGCCATTCAACAATAAATATGGATCCTTAGATCATAACATAAATATTTATCAATGAGACGGTAATGAAGATATTAAGGCATCACAATGCTCAGTCCTTCTCTCTACCCCTTTGTAAAGAGGATCCTTATTTGCCCTCCTCAACTGCTAGGCTTTTGGTGAAGAAAAGACAGGGGGAAAAGCTGTGTGTGCTGAGGAAAAGGATAGAAATGCAGACTTGGAAACACCAAAAGAAACCAAATTAATGTCTTAAGAAAGAACACCTATGTACCCTCTCCAGAAAACACCCTGGGAGGTGGGGGAATGTAGAAGCTCTTGTTTTATGAAGGAAGAAGGATGACATGGGAAGTGAGGGCAGGGTGGAGTGTCAGAGGGAGATACTGGGCAAGCCACCATGTTATGGAAACCATAATGGGTCCACTCCTCAAGCGCATCCTCATTAACCATCTAGAAAAGTCTTAGAGTCAAAATGTTTTTAGTCAAATGTTTTTTTTTTCTTTTTGATGCATCATTTCATTAATGCAGACCTTTTTTTTTCTTAAATAGTTTATTGTCAAGTTGGTTTACATATAACACCCAGGGCTCATCCCAAGTGCAGACCTTTATGCAAAAGAAAGGTCCAATTGGATTTCATATAACATCATCTTCTCAAAGACTCATAGAGACTTTCTCAAGCAAATACATATACGCATGCACAGAGTGGACATGAAGGAAATAACGAACTGTAATAACCTCCAGAAAACTTTACCTTTACATAGTTAGCTAAGATCTAAAGCAGAGAACGTGATAATAAATATATGAACTTACCAAAGATAAGCCATATAAGAAAAAGAGTGTAAGTATGACCATGAAGCCTGTCATGAATATAATTTGGGTAGATGTTATAACAACTGTAATGACTATGGAAATAATGAAGATGTAGCCAGCATAGATTAAACCCCAGGAGAGCCTAAATGAAGACAAAAAGTTATTTCAATTATTTTAACTTCATTATGAAATATTTATAACATACAAAAATATCTAAAGAATGATACAGTGTTTACCATTCTACCTGCCACTTAGATGAATAACTAAAATATTACTAATATTACGCTGGCAGGGCTGTGGGGCTGCCTCCTCGCTAGGCATCAGCTCTGTATTCACTTATTGTATAAATAGTATGAACACTTGCATAAATAGTATCTCCGTATATGTTTTGCTGCTGCTTGCCTCTATCATTGGACATATACAATATTATACCCTGCCGTATAATAGTTCATTGTTTGACTATATCCTAATATTCTCCTGCTCATGGACTTCTAGATTGTTTCAATTTTTATTTCTGATGTGCTGTTGCTAAGAGCACTCTCGTACTTGTCTTTTTTTGTGAAAATGCACAAAAACGTCTCAAAGGTGTAGTTGCTGAAGTAAAGATTAAGCTCTTTGTGCCTTCCGTGTTATGACATATTACCAAGGTGTTCTAAGTATAGAAGTGGGAGGAAATAGAACAGCTGCTGATGGATCAAGGAGTCATGGAGTCACTGGGGGCAGATGATAATTGGATCATTCTTGAGGATTTCAGCCCGTAGGACCTCCACTCTCCCTAGTAGAAAACTGAAAGTTCCTAACTCCTCCAGGCCGATCCTATTCTTGCTATTCCTATTCATCTTTCCTTTTTTTTTTTTAAAGCTAATATAAATTAGGATACAGCCTTACATGTTCATACGGTTTTGCTTTACGTGTGCTGGTGTTCATGTTTTTATGAGGTGGCTCTTAAGAAATGGTATTCAGTCTTAGATCTAACAGGACCACAAGCATCCTCTTTTACAGGTAAGTAAACTGTAGTTCCTGCTGTTACTTCATGGCCTATTCCAGATCCACAGGGTAGAACAGTAACAAAGCTGGGATGACAGTGCACGTTCTTCTCAGTCCTCTTACTCTACATGAAACTGCCCAACTAAATAAGCATCTGGAACGTCTGGGCAGCTTAGTCGGTTGAGCATCTGACTTTGGCTCAAGTCATGATCTCACGGTTTGTGGGTTCGAGCCCCGCATCGGGCTCTGAGCTGACAGCTCAGATCCTGGAGCCTGCTTCGGATTCTGTGTCTCCCTCTCTCTCTGCCCCTCCTCTGCTTGCACTCTGTCTCTTTTTCTCAAAAATGAATAAGCGTTAAAAACAATTAAAAATAAAAAAGAGTTCAAGAGCTGAAAAAAAGTGAGAGTATTAAAACCAGGAACTTGCATCAATAGGCCCCAGTACGATGTGTTTAATTACTGCTTATTCGACTTCTTTTTAAAGGTCATGAGATTACAGTGATTCAGCCTTTGTTAGAAACATCAGCATTTTTGAAAAGCATATGGCATTCTGCAGAATCCACTTCCTGAGTATAGAAGGGAACTAGTACAGGTGGGAATTGAAATTCTATAGAGTAGGAGAATTACAAATAAAGGAACTTAAAACATTACCTTGAAAAGGGAACTCCTTGCAGGGAGTTTGGTGGGCAGGGGTGGGGGGGGTGTTAAAAAAGCTATGAAAACCTTCATGATAAAAACAAAGCAATTCAGTCATCACACTTGAATAATAAATGCTGATGATATTTCACAGTTATTTCACATTACTTAAAAAAAAAGGTTGTGATAGAATTTATTTCCAATAGACATCCTTACTTAATAAAAACATTTCAGATTTTTTTCCTTCTTAGTTTTAAGGATATATATATTTTTTTAATTTTGCTAACTTTAGGTTACATGCACACTAAGAAGCATTTACCCTGAGAATGAATCCACATCTAAATATCCAATACCTTTCTGATTTTAATCCAGAGTTGACTTGTGCTACCTGTTTTCAGGGGAGTACAAGGATACTGCCCCAAAAGACATTCTCTGAACTGAAAACTGGTCCTTTTTACACAGAGTCCCCTCTCTACCCTCCATCAGACTCCATTCATTCCTTTGCCCTTGCCAAAGTTTCACTGCAAACCACTCTTTTTCATTTCAGAAACACAGTTTCCTCTTTTTCTATTTCACAATTAATGTATGTTAGAACCAGAACTCTTTGTTAATAAAATACACTTTATAGAAAATTTAAAATTTCCTAGACCATAAATTTATTTTAGGGAACATGTGACTTACAAATGATTGTTCAATAAACAATTCCTCAACCATATCAGATAGTTCCACATCCATAAAGAGTAATTTTCTTGATGTGGGCACTACACAAAGATACATTTCCCAGGGTTCAGTATTGTTAAATGTTAGGTTTCTTTCTTTTTTTTTAAGTTTATATATTTATTTTGAGAGAGAGAGAGAGAAGGAGACAGAAAATCCCAAGCAGGCTCCATATTGTCAGTGCAGAGCCCGATTTGAGCTTGAACTCACCACCTATGAGATTATGACCTGACCTGAAATCAAGAGTCAGATGCTTAACAAACCAAGCCACCCAAGCACCCCATGTTAGGTTTCTTTTAGGGTTTCTTTCAGGGTAAAAGAAACAGATTATTTTTCCTTTTCCTAGACAATGTGGATTTGTAACCGATTGCATGGCAGATTCTCTGCTTTGGCCTCTAGGAAGCTTAGAGCTTGTATGATTTGCATTTTTATCTTCTGGTCTTAACTGTTTTCATTTTGTTAGGTCCTTGTTTCTATTCCTCAATCATTTGTTTGTATTTAATACAAATACACACACATAGATAGATACATAAATATACATATATATACAAATAAACATATGTTTAAATATATCCAAAATATATATTTAAAATCATCTAAATCATTTTTGAATGAGTCAAGAGACAAATATACCCATATATGAACAAATGTTCTTATTGAGCCCTTCCAATATGCTGTATATCTTAAGAGCTGTATGTGCTGGGCACATTTTATAGGCTATCTCAACTCCAACACATGGTACTTAAGTGTTGCAAAAAAAAATATATCCCTGCTGATGAACCCTCTGAACACAAGCTAGCCATTATTGGATCATATTTCCCTCAACATGAGGAAGTGTGGAGGAATCAAAGGATAACCATGGGCAGACCAACCTGCAGAGTTGCAACTGGTACCATTGGGTTGGATCTTAGCTGTGGTGCATACCATCCATTTGACATTGGGTAACTCTTCCATTCTCTCTGACCGTAATGGTACCTCTATCACAGCATTAGCTTCATATATTCACGGTACGGTGAAAGGGCTCAGCCAAGTATGATCAATAGTTTATATTGCCCAATTTTAAAAGGACTAAATCAAAACATCAGAACAGAAGAACAAGGAGCCAATGTCTCAGGCTTAACCCGTAATTTTTGGAAATAATGACACTTTTTTACTGCTTCCTAATTTCTGATTATTCATTGTACTGCTTGAATCGGTTACTTACCAGAAGGCTGAATCTTGTAGACCCATCATTTTCATCAAATCCTTACACTTTTTTCTCTCTTTTGTAACATTAAGTGATAAAAAATGTATAAATGGAAAAAAGTAAAGAAGGCAGTAGAAAATAAACATCTCCTTTTGAAGAAGGTTACTATCAATAAAAGGTAAAGTCTTCATATTTATAGCAGTAACTGACATCAACTCTTCTGTCACAGAATGGTTTGTTGCAATCTAGAGTAGGGTTTAAACAAATAAAATCATTATTTGAAAAATAGGAACTGAGTAAGCTGTAGTGAAATCTGAACACCCTCTGAAGATTATACCATTATCAAGTTCCTGATTTTAATATTGTTCTGTGGTTATATCAGATGTTACCATTAGAAGAAACTGGAAGGTGGATACACAGACCTTCCTGTACATTGGTTTTTGGAATTTCCTGTCATGCTGAAATCCCTTGAAAATTTAAAGTTAAAAACGAAAGCAGTGTATTCCTTTGATAAATCCAGTTTCAGCATTTGTATGCCTGCTTCATTATATAAACGTATGAAAACCTGAGCATATATCATCTTTCATCAAAATCTCAATACCTGTGGAATGAGTTTAATTATTAGAACTTTTCTTACTTGTATAATAGCAGCGTTAATTGCAGTTTGCAAAGTCACAAATCCTCCATTCCAGTATTTGGCCAAAGAACAGGAAAAGTCACCATGCACTTTCCAACAATGAGCTACAAGCACAAAGGGAGGCATAACCATAAGCAACATTATCGGGTGAAAGCCATTAGAGAATAAGAAACAAGAATAGAAGAGAAAGCCATCTAGAGGAGCCTCCACCAGTCAGAATTTATAACCATAGAGAAAAAAAAAAGCAAATCAAGTTCTTAATAAGGCAATTTTATTCATGGAGACTGTAGCATGCATAGGAAGCCTTAGAAATTAAAAGAAGATGAAAGCTGGAGGGCCTGGGTGGCTCAGTCAGTTGAGCGTCTGACTTCAGCTCTGGTCATGATCTCACAGTTCATGAGCTCGAGCCCCCATTCCCCACTGGGCTTGCTGCTGACAGCAAAGAATCTGCTTTGGATCCTCTGCCCCCCTTTCTCTGCCCCTCCCCCAACTGTGCTGTCTCAAAAATAAATAAATATTTTTTAAAAGATGAAAACGAACACTCTGCTCCTACCATGCTGGATTCCTTGCTGTACCTCAAGATGCTAAACGCACTCTTGTGCTAGAACTTTTTTTGCTCAGATGCTCTCCCTCCTGATGGATACGTGGCTCACTCCTTCCCTCTATCCTCATCTCTTCTCAAAAGTGAGCTCAGCACAGAGGTCTTCCCTGGCCACCATAAATAAAAATATCTGAAAGAGCATTTAGACTCTATCTTCCAAGCCTGTTCTATTCTACTTTGTTGTTTTATCACCACTTGGCAGAGTTTTTTATCCCATTCCCTGTCTCTGACTCAAATGATTCATGCAAACAGGCTCTCCTCTGTGTCTGGCTTACTCCCACCCCAGGGCCAGAACAGTGCAGGACACATAGAAGACACTTGGTAAATAAATGGAAAAGAACCGATTCTATTAGCCACATCAATTCTGCTTCCTGAAAGGCCCTCAAACCTGTTCACTCTCCTTTTCAGGTGCCTCAGCCTTGTCCAAGCTGACTTTGGCTCCCTGGTTATGTTTCACTATGCTCTCCCTGACCCCTCTGCAATCCATTCCATGGGCTATATCCAGAGAGCTCCCTTAGGCTTGGGAGTCTAAGCTCTTCTCTGCCCTGATTAAAGTACCTCAATGGCTCCCCAACACTCTAGGTTTGTAGAACATCATGGGATCTAGCCCTTCAGTTAATTTCAGCCTCATTCTTCTGTCACATTCGTTTCCATGTCCTCCGTTCAGCTATACTGATCTTCTTCCATGTATACTAAGAGATGCCCTTGGCATCTCAGGATTTTCACACCTGCCCTCCCTCTCTCTGAAATACAAGGCTTTTCCCACCCCGCCACCTCCATGCGCTTTTCCTTCTAGTTAGTTTTAAACATCACTTCACCCTATAAGACTTCTCAAATCCCACAGCTTATTAGGAACCCCGGGTCTAAATCTCCCACCCACTCAGCACCTCTCTTTGCACTTGTCATTTAACTGTTCAATGTCTACTTTTCCTGCTAACCTGGAACCTCACCTGAGGCCAGGACCTCTCAGTGTTGATCACTCTGTATCCTTTGCAACATGCCCCTGTGTGCTCACTTTATATCCATTGGATGACTCCATAATGTTTTTTTTTCAATTTTTTATGGCTTTATTTTATTTTGAGAGACAGAGAGCGAGCGAGGGAGGGGCAGAGAGAGAGAGAGAGACAGAATCTGAAGCAGGCTCCAGACTCTGAACTGTCAGCATGGAGCCTAACGTGGGGCTCGAACCCATGGAATGTGAGACTGTGACCTGAGCCAAAGTCGGACACTTAACCAACTGAGCCACCTAGGCGCTCCAATGACTCCATAATGTTTTATAGTGGGAAGATACGATTGACCTTGAAATAAGTTCAGCGATACAATGTGCTCTATTTTATCATGTTCTTTTTTTTTTTTAATATTTTTATTTATTTCTAGGAGAGAGAGAGAGACAGCGTGAGCAGGGGAGGGTCAGAAAGAGAGGGAGACACAGACTCTGAAACAGGTTCCAGGCTCTGAGCTGGCAGTCAGCACAGAGCCAGACGCGGGGCTCAAACCCACGAACCGCGAGATCATGACCTAAGCGAAAGTCAGACGCTCAACCGACTAAGCCACCCAGGTGCCCCTATTTTATCATGTTCTATCAAGAGCATCTCTGTTGTCCATCCCAACCCACTCCTTATGTTAAAAACATGAAAAGTACCATAATGATATTTTATATGGAAAGTCACCTGTGAAAAGATCTTCCTTCAAAAATGGAATGTGATATCCCTGAATAAATTTTAACTTATAAGAGAAAGCATCATTAAAGATGATTCCCACCAGGTCTGAGAAACTGTCTAGAAGTATTTTATCCATGGATTTTTGATTCGGTACTCCAATGATTCTGCTTTCTGTGAATGACAAGGTAAAAATAGACAGAGGATTGTACAGTTTCACCGCCATAGAATATGGTATCCAACTGTGTCATCATATATATTTCACTGGAATTACACTAAAGTCATTTTCCATTTAAATGAAACTTACCCCAAAAGGCAAAGGGAGATTTTTTTTTTTAATGCTTTAGATTCTAGAATCAGAAGACATGCATGAGAGTTGAGTGTTTTCTTTTAATAATGACGTGTATTGTGGCAAATTTTAGGTATATAGAAGGATTATACTAGGGTAAGCATGCATAAGAGAATTAGGATACAAAGTAGAGGTAATGGGAATAGTTACTGTATAGTCAGGGGATTCCAGATCTCAGATTTACTGAAGCAAAGACACCTCATCTGATTTTTGCTTTATGTGGCAGCTAAGATCGCCAAGTAAGTGTATTTCTAACAGCCAGCAAAGTCACCTGTTAGAAATTGAAGATTAAAGAGTAGACCACTAAACTGCACCCACCGTGCCTGTGAGTGAAATACACATTTTATCTTAGTTTTCTTGGTTACATAGTGATTTCATTTAGAAGGATTTCATTTAAAGATGTTTACAAAGTATACCATCTGTGGACAGAGTATCTTTAGATTATCCATCCTTACTTTTCATAGTTCTGACATTATTACTTAATAACCAGATTTATTTTCTTTTATTTAAATGTTTTTTCCCAAGTTATAAATCTTAATCACTGTATTTCAATGTTATGAGCATCCACACCCACAAAGGGCATATTCTCCTAGACACTATTCTGCAAATGTGAAATTATAAATTGATTATTTTAGGTAAATTCCAAAAGAAATGTAGACCTCCCTAAACTGGATCCCCATCAAGCTCAAAGGCTTAAAAGCCTTTAAAAAACCAATTGTTATGAGGGAAAGGAAAAAGGAACCAAATTTGTAGGCTATCTTGATAACCTAAATAATTTCCATAAGAGATCACCGTCAGTTTGATATAAACATGTATACATCAATTCAAAAGATATGAAATATCAAAAAGATATGAAATAATATCAGTAATTCTTTGTTGCCATTAGTACACCTACCTTTCACAAAGGGAGCAAATGTCGTTTTGTTCACTATCTGCTGTGCAATATCAGAGATAGGTGTATATACAACACCTATAGAGTTATTAAAGTTATCTGCCCTTCCCAGAGTCTGAGGAGGAATTTCAGGAAGATATGTCTTTTCTTTGAAATGTGAAAATAGTCCCATATACAGTCCCAGAAGTATTGGGAACATCCATTCCTATAACAGGGAGAAAAATGAATTTAGAGTATATTCCCTTAAAACGCTCAGCCAATGCCAAAGAGCTGTCGAAGATAGACTTCAATTATGCCACTTGGTTGTCTTCTCTTTGCTCTCTATTCTTCAGATCAAAGGGGACCCAAAAAAGATGCAAACTGAGATGATGGCCACATAGATCATTCTCTAACAATAGAAATGAACTTTTGCATTAACACATGAACTACTGCAGAAGCCATCATAAAAACCAATGGGGTGACAAATAGGATGACAATCCCTATGCCTGGGCATCTGACGTTATAGTCTCTAAGACACAGAGGATCCCAGATGGAGTACATGGTGGCAAATAGCAGCATTTTTGTCACTTGTCACATTCTTGTATTGGAAATCAAAACACATGAAAAGGAACTGAGAGTTAAGATATTGCCCAGTGGTTCACCAATATCAGTAATCTCTTCCTGCTTAGCACAATGCTAGACTACATTCCCAGTCTCTGGAAATGGAGTCGGACCAAGTGATTGAGTGATTGAGTTCTAACCAACGGAACATGAGCAGAAATGATGTGCATCCTTCAAGGCCTGGCTTGTGGACCCATGCACAACCTTCGATATTCTGTCTCCATCCCTGTACTTTCTGATGTTCTGACTAGATTCAGACCATCCAGGGGAGATCTCCAAGATCTAGGGAAATGGCAGGGTCCCATTCCTTCACCTACCAGACCCACTTCAGTTTCGCTGCCAACCTTATTTAGACTCTGGGCAAAGTCTGAGTTAAGCCTCTGAGATTTGGGGCAATAGCCTGTCGACAGTCCACCTACCTAATGCAAACTGACAATCACTGGTGTTACTTGGTCGTAATTCTCGGAAATAATCCCTACATGGAAAATTCATGGCTTTGAAAATCAGTGCCCCAAATTAAAATTTCTCAGTTTCTGCTAGGGACCATTTTTATTATTTCTTTACTCTAATTTTGTTACATATGGTAGCAGCTTTTGTAGCTGCTAGAATTCCCTGGGGCACCTGGGTGGCTCCGTTGGTTAAGTCTGACTTCGGCTCAGGTCATAATCTCCTGGTGCGTGAGTTCAAGTCCCAGTGTCAGGCTCTGTGCCTGCTTTGGATTCTGTGTCTCCCTCTCTCTGCCCCTTCTCCACTCACACTCTGTGTCTCTCTCTCTCTCTCTCAAAAATAAATAAACAATAATTTTTTAAAAAATTATAAATAGTTGCTAATAAAATAAATAGTTGCTAATAAAAATTAATAGTTGCTAATAATTTCCCATACAATTGAATTCTCATTTAATCTCTTTTTTAAAAACAATATGAGGAATATTTTTAGTCTCTGCAATGTGACATTATTTTTCGGGGACTGCTATGAAACTCTCAGTTTGCAAAGTACAGTTAGAGGCAACCTCAAAATCAATAAATCCAGTCTGTTACTTAAAATATAAAATGAGTGCATCATCAGGTAATAAAAGAATAATGTGAGCTGTAGAAAGAGGTAAACTTTCAAACATACCAATAAGCTCTCTCTTTTCATTCTCCATTTCTTAAGCAAATTCTTGTACAGAAGTGCTTGAGTTTGCTGGTACACACTTTTCTGTTTCATATTCATTTAGTCTGCATTGAACAAACAAGGCGAAAATTAACAAGGTGTGGCATAAATCAGAAAAATAAGTGTAATAAGAAACACCTTGGGGAGAATGGGAGAAAAGCAAAAAGAAAAACCTTGATCATATTTTGGAGGGAAATAGTTCCTGCCTTTAAGGACTACAAAAAATGACTTTAAAGTATCATTTTAGGGGCGCCTGGGTGGCTTAGTCGGTTAAGCGTCCGACTTTCGCTTGGGTCATGATCTCGCGGTTCGTGGGTTCGAGCCCCGCGTCGGGCTCTGTGCTGACTGCCAGCTCAGAGCCTGGAGCCTATTTCGGAGTCTGTGTCTCTCTCTCTCTCTGACCGTCCCCTGCTCATGCTGTCTCTCTCTCTCTCCTAGAAATAAATAAAAATATTTAAAAAAAATATCATTTTAATAACACATGGTTGCAGAATTTTACATCAAATATACTCATTGTAAGCTATTTGGGAGAGTGGATAATGGTAGGGAGATAGTGCTCAGTATCACAATTTTACAGAAAAATACAGAGTATAACAATGGAAAAGATGTCATTAGTTTTCAGGACCTGTAAGCTACTTCACATTTTTTTTTAACTTTTTTATACCAGAAATTCCACTATCTGAATAGAGTAATTGAATTATATCTCAGCTGATTAATAATTTTTGTTCTTTGCATTTAAATAGAAATACCAGAGCTGATCAAATTAACCAAAATTCTGATTATTTCAATTCATCTGAATAATTAATTATGTCCATTAGACAAAACCTCAATGAACTCTTTTGCTGTAGTATTTCTCTTTCAGATGAAACTGAACAGCTTTTATCAAAAAAAGCTAGGCTGTGAGATTGCAATTCAGATTCACACTACCTGAAACTTGATTGTGAGACACAAGAAGAATGGAAGAACTTATCTCAATTTTCTGAATTCATAAGTCCTCGAATAACTGAGGAAACAAACTAACAACTAGGAAGAAAAGAAAAGAAAAGAAAAGAAAAGAAAGAAATCACATAGAAAGTAACTTTACCCAAATGTTTGCAAATAAGCCAACAGAAACAATTTTTCTTCAGTTTTCATAATCTCAAAATTAAATGTTTGTAGATTCACATAACAAAATATTCAGACAATTCTCCCTCACCTAGTACAGAAGCAAATTTTACTATTTTCCTATATCCTCCTGTTGTACCTGCACAATAAAAGTTGGTTGGAAATAAACTGGAAAATTTTATCCTTAGGTCTTCAATATAATACATATGAGTATTTGGAAACATCTGAAAAATACACTGATTTTAGCGGTGTCCACCCACACACTTGGCATAGCACACCCAAACAGAGCTTTACTTACCGTCAGGAAAATTACTCTGGAAACACTGTCAAAGCACAGTTCTCTTTTTGTGTACAGCAACAATTAAAATTTCCTTATTGCTACTTCTTCATTTATTCCTTAAATGGGTGCCTTCCTCAGGCTGTTTTCTGAAGGGGGGTGTAGTCAGACCAAGCTGCACATAATGAACTTGTTTTGTTTTCTGCCCTTCCTTCCCTAAGCCAATTATTTGCAGGCAAATGATGGTTCATTGGTTGGTTGGGAAGAAAACAAACCCTGTGTTTGTGCACTTGGCCTTTCAACTTCAGGGATAAGGGGGTAAAATGGTAAACAAAGAAAACAGAACTAGCCCGTCGGACATGATGAGACCAAGATGGGGAAAGAGCAATAAGCAAGTAAAAACAACCACTAACCAAAGTAGTTAAATGTGTATGAGAAATCTTTAGCTATTTTTTTCACTACTAATGCCTAAACCCTATTGCCAATGATATATTTGACTAATTTACACTAAATTAGTCCAGAATGTGCTGGAATGGAAGGTTTTTTCCTAATAAAGCTAAGCATCCCATAGTCTGCCACAGAGAAACACCTAATTTAGACAAATGAAGAATTATGAACAAATTCCTTTCTTCTGCTCTGCTCAAAGAGGATGCAGGATTTCAGAAGGCTTATAAACAAAATAAAACTAAGCAGATTGCCAAGGACTAAAAAACCTATAAAAAGATTCAGGTCAATTTTTATGTATGAAGAATGGGAAAAAAAATTTATTCAATTCCCATTACATAGTCTATCTCTCTCTGTAAAGAGTTGCAAACTTTTCTTGACCTGCCAAAGTAAACGGCAAAACAGGAAGCCAAAGTCCATGAATTGGGAAATCTCAAATATTTGACATGGCTCCCAATCCACAGATGTTAATAATCATAAAGCTGAGAGTTGTTCTGGAAAAGAGAATAATTTAAAAAATATTTAAGCCACAGAATTATATATGTATATTTCTATCCTTGGTAATTAGTTCTGTTTTTTAAAAAAGTCAACAGTGAGATATTGTATGTCTTTTACATTAAAAATTAGCAAAAATAAAGGCAATAAAGATGTTTTAAAGGTCTCATGGAGGGGAGGGTAGAAGGTCAAAAACACTTTAAAATTTTGTATCAATAATAGGCCAATGATCCAAACAAAAATTCTGTTTCTTTTAAATTACTTGGAATATAGTTCAAGTTTTTATGAGTTTTGTTGTTGTTGTTTTAGACCTATGTATTCTACTTTAGGAATCTATTTTAGGAATTTTCACTTTTCTTACAATGAAATTGTAAGAGTCTTAAAATTCACAACTACAATATCATTATGTTGATTAAATATATTTTGTTAGTTTTACTTTTTACCATTGTTTCTTATATATGCTTTGGTTTCCTCTTTCTTGACCTATTTACTCTGATTTATTTTTACTTAGGAATTCATTTTTCTTATTTAAGCCTGAAGATTTCCCATAAATGGTAACCTAATATAATGAAGTACCCAAACTCTGGCTAGAAGTATATTGAAATGGTGGGTAAAGTATATAAAATATAACCCCAAAAAGTCAGAAAGATAACCAAGCTTTAAAAAGAAATAAGAAAAAGGTAAAGGAAAGAAACCAAGAAGCAATGGAAGAAACAGAAAGAAAGCAAGGTACTTCCCCAGGTATTAAAAATTAAAAAAGAAATTAAAACCAGAACTACAAATGGTATGCCAGCAATTAACTGTCCAAAGAGGGTTTCAATAACCTTGCGACCTAGACTTGATGGTTTATAAAGCTGGGTTTCCTATCTCTGCATGAATCCAGACACTTCACAGGACTGCTCAATGCTAGAAAGAAATAGAAATTAGCAAAATCACCTACTACCCCAAGGAAGAGCAAGGATGTGTATGCTTTGCCCGATCTCTAGGTTAAACAATATATATTCTCCATAGAAAATAAAAAGCCCCGACATGTAGGACATGCCAGATACAGGACATAGGAGAGGGATCTTAATTTATTCTTCCTGTATAGTAACACGCCTAGAAACATAGCAAATGTCAGAGCAGTTACTCGCATTTTAGAGCCAAACGTGGGTTTGAATTCTAGCTCTGCCACGTATTAGCTGTGTGACTTTGCACAATGTATTTAACCTTCTCTGCCCCCTTAAAATGGAGATAATAGCAATGTATGTATGTATGCATAGTTACTATGGAGATTAAATTCATTAATAAAAGTAAAGTTCATAAAACAATACCTGAAAAATACTAAAACTCAAAAAATATTACATGTTGCTGATTATCCTCCTCTTCTTCCTTCTTCTTCCCCTTCTTCTCCTCCTCCTCTTATTATTAGTATGAATCTGAATCCCCACAGAGAAGATGCAAGCAATTCTACAGAGATATGTCCAGGATTCAGAGCACAAACCAACAGAGTTAAATAAAGATTTCTCCTAGCAGCTAAGCTCATAATCAAAAGTCCACCATGAAAGAGAATTAGCAGGCCAAAAAAAAAAAAAGGGGGGGGTGAGGGGAGAAGGGACTATTAGCAACCTTAAGAACTAAAGATAATAAAAATTATGAGAGTCTATAAAATACATATCTAAAGTATTAAAGAAGAAATGTAAGTTAAAATAGGAAGCAATGACAAGGAAGACTAATAGGAGAACAGCCCATTAGAACTTTATATTTAAAAGGCTTAATAAAAGTTAAGATTAAAAACTTAATGGAGAAATCTTATAGCAGATTAGGCACAGGTGAGAAAATTCATAAACCAGAAATATATATGAAGAAATTACAGAAAATTTAGTGCAAAGACAGAACAAGATGGAAAAACATTGAAGACAAATTTTAAAAAATGAAAGAATGAGAAAGATACTGAAGACAAATTAAAAGACATGAAAGATATGTCTAATAGGCATTTTATAATAAGGAAAAGAAAGAGAATAAATAGAAGATAAATTGGATGAACATTTTCCAGAATTGAATATATGAGCCCTGAGATTAAAAAAAGTAATGTGTCCTATGAAGAGTTATAAAAACAATCTAACAACTATTTTGTGGTGAGCTTTCAAAACATAAAAGAAAATGGAGAGAAAGAAATACTCAAAAACAATAAAATAGAAAAGACAAGTTGTCAACTAAGGATCAACAGTTAGCCAAATGATGTTATAAAACAATGGAATAATGTTGTCCAAGTGCTGAGAGAAAATGAACGGTCAACTTCAAATTCTATACCCAGCTAAACGTGCATGAAATAAAGCTCTCAGAGAGAATTTTCCTTCAACACAAAGTGGCTGAAAGAATACTAAAAGGTGTGCTTTAGTTAAAAATAAGTTAATATTGGGGCATCTGGGTGGTTCTGTTGTTTTAAGCGCCCAACTTTTGATTTCATCATCTCAGGTCACGATCTCACGGTCTTGAGATCAAGCCCTGCATTGGTGTCAGCACAGAGCCTGCTTGGGATTCTTGCTCTCTCTCTGCCTCTCTCTCTCTGTGTCCCTCTCCCACTTGCTCTCCATATACCTCTTAAAAATAAATAAACAAACATTTAAAAAAGGATAATTTTTAAAAAAACACCAAGAGTTGATTCTCAGAAGTGTTTGATAAATAAGTTGCCAGTACTAACTATTTATTGACTGTAAACAGTATTTTGTGGGAGAGGAGGCAGAACCTCCCACCAATC